TCTACCCCCTTGCTCCCGTCCCTTTCCCCTCTTCCCCTGCCCTTCCATATCCTTCCCTCCCATTTCCTCTTCTCCCCTTTTCCCGCCCCTCCCTTTCCCACCCAGTCCTTCCATCCTACGTTCATTCTGCTTCCACCACCCCCATTCCCCGGCCCTTCTCCCCCGCACAACATGCGCCAGCAGTACCTATCCCACGTCCACCCCGACGTTGACAACGTCACCGTGCCCCAGAAATTCCCCTTTTCTTTCCTCCATTCACTCCGCTTCCACCCTCCCCCTCTTCCCCCGCCCCCCCTCCCCGTCTCCCCCTTTTTCTGTCCTCCCCCTCACCCTTCCAGCTACGCCGTATTCCTCTCGCTCGTGCGCTCCCCAGCCTTGGGGTGACTTTTGAGTCGACTCAAAAGTCTCCTTCTCCCTCGCCTTGTCCCTCGTCTCCCCCTCCCTCTCCCTTCCAGCTACGCCATATTCCGTTCGCTCGTGCGCTCCCCAGCCCTCGGCTGGGCGCTCTACCGCTTCGCCCTCACCTCCCCGCGCAACATGCGCCAGCAGTACCTCTCCCACGTCTACGCCGACGCAGACAACGTCACGCCCTCCCTCCTCGACTCCCGCACCTCTATCACGCGCCGCCCCGGCGCCCGCTTCCTACTTCCTCTTTCCCCCTTTCTCCCCTCTTCTCCCCCTTTTCTCACCCCCTTCCTCCCCCTTTTCTCACCCCCTTCCTCCCTCCCGGTCTCTCCATTCGCCCTCTTCCCCTCCCCACCACAGGTATGCCATATTCCGTTCGCTCGTCCGTTCCCCAGCCCTGGGCTGGGCGCTCTATCGCTTCGCCCTCACCTCTCCGCGCAACATGCGCCAGCAGTACCTCTCGCACGTCTACGCCGACGCAGACAACGTCACGCCCTCGCTCCTTGACTCCCGCACCTCCATCACGCGCCGCCCAGGCGCCCGCTTCGCCCCCGCTTCCTTCGTCTCCGGTCTCCTAGACAGTGTGAAGACCCGGGAGGAGTTTGTGGGGTTGTTCGCGCGGGCGGAAGAGGAGGGAGTGAGGGCGTATGTGGTGGGGAGCAAGGGGTGCCCGAGAAGGAGCAAGGCGGAGATGCAGGCTGCGAAGGGGGCGGCGGGAGTGGCGGGGTATGTGGAGGTGGAGGGGGCGTTGTTGCCGCATGAAGAGTATCCGATTCAGACGTTTGAGGCTGTTAAGGGGATTCTGACGGAGCTCAAGGCGTGAGTGAGACACTTCTGAGTCGACTCAGAAAGGCGAAAGTGGCGCAGTATGTGGAGGTGGAGGGAGCGTTGTGCTACTAAAGATTTGCGTACCATGGACTCGGGTCATGGTTTCAGGAATGGAGAGGTCAGCTGAGCCTGTGGCATGGGAGAGTGGTGTGTATAGGTAGGGTAGGGTCCCTCTGCTGAGGTGCCTCAAAAGTAGGCAGGAACTGTCCCCCTTTTCCTGTGCGCGATGCGCGGTGTGGAAGTGGGAGGTGGGGAAAGAGGTACGGACACTGCTTTTATCCAATCTCCCTCCCCTCTCCCACACTTACCAGCTCTTCTCCTATAATCCCAGTCATTCCAAGTGGCTACCTAACAGAATACTTCACTAGCTTACTTATGTAAAGCGATGTATTTGTGACTGGCGGCCAACTTTCTGCTGTCTTGCGCATGATACTGACACGGTTATTACATGGTAAGCCACAGTAACAGTTTTGAAAGCATCCGCATTGGAGCAAAATCGGGGATGATGAGCGTGAAGGAAACAGCAGTGCAGTGCAGCCTCTGGCATTGACAATAAACCCGCACGGCAACACCACCACCACCAGCCTGATACACGTGCACTCCACGCTTTACACCTGAAATTAAAGGGGAATTCGTTGCAGCTCATCCCCTGCCTGTGCAAATGCCCGTGCCCATTCCCCCGTGTGGCTCAGCTTGCCTGCCCATCTGCTGCTGACTTTGTTTTTCATCTGATCCAGCACAGGCTGACTGCTCTTCTCACTCACCCACTCACCCCCACACTCACTCACTCACTCAACGACACTCACTCACTTACACACTCACTCCCCCACACACCCACTCAGCCACACCCACTCACCCACACACCCACACACTCACTCACCCACCCACTCACTCCCTTCACTCCCTCACTCACACCCCACCCATACCCGCGCCCATCTCCCCCCTGTGGCTCAGCTCGCTCATCTGCAGCGCTGCTGCAGCAGGGCTCATGCTCCCGTGCTGCGCTGCCTGCCCCATGCGCGATATGGCCTCCGATGATTGCGCTGCCGGGACAGGAAATGAGAGGGAAACGGAGAGAAGGGAGAGGGCAGGGAACGCTTGGATAGGGTTCAAGATTCAATGAGCGTCTTGTGGAGCGCGGCAGCAGCAGGGCTCATGCTGCCGTGCTGCGCTGCCTTTCCCATGCGCGATATGGCCTCCGATGATTGCGCTGCCGGGACAGGAAATGAGAGGGAAACGGAGAGAAGGGAGAGGGCAGGGAACGCTTGGATAGGGTTCAAGATTCAATAAGCGTCTTGTGGAGCGCGGCAGCAGCAGTGCTCATGCTGCCGTGCTGCGCTGCCTGCCCCATGCGTGATATGGCCTCCGATGATTGCGCTGCCGGGACAGGAAATGAGAGGGAAACGGAGAGAAGGGAGAGGGCAGGGAACGCTTGGATAGGGTTCAAGATTCAATAAGCGTCTTGTGGAGCGCGGCAGCAGCAGGGCTCATGCTGCCGTGCTGCGCTGCCTTTCCCATGCGTGATATGGCCTCCGATGATTGCGCTGCCGGGACAGGAAATGAGAGGGAAACGGAGAGAAGGGAGAGGGCAGGGAACGCTTGGATAGGGTTCAAGATTCAATAAGCGTCTTGTGGAGCGCGGCAGCAGCAGGGCTCATGCTGCCGTGCTGCGCTGCCTTTCCCATGCGCGATATGGCCTCCGATGATTGCGCTGCCGGGACAGGAAATGAGAGGGAAACGGAGAGAAGGGAGAGGGAAGGGAACGCTTGGATAGGGTTCAAGATTCAATAAGCGTCTTGTGGAGCGCGGCAGCAGCAGGGCTCATGCCGCCGTGCTGCGCTGCCTGCCCCATGCGCGATATGGCCTCCGATGATTGCGCTGCCGGGACAGGAAACGAGAGGGAAACGGAGAGAAGGGAGAGGGCAGGGAACGCTTGGATAGGGTTCAAGATTCAATAAGCGTCTTGTGGAGCGCGGCAGCAGCAGGGCTCATGCTGCCGTGCTGCGCTGCCTTTCCCATGCGCGATATGGCCTCCGATGATTGCGCTGCCGGGACAGGAAATGAGAGGGAAACGGAGAGAAGGGAGAGGGCAGGGAACGCTTGGATAGGGTTCAAGATTCAATAAGCGTCTTGTGGAGCGCGGCAGCAGCAGTGCTCATGCTGCCGTGCTGCGCTGCCTGCCCCATGCGCGATATGGCCTCCGATGATTGTGCTGCCGGGACAGGAAACGAGAGGGAAACGGAGAGAAGGGAGAGGGCAGGGAACGCTTGGATAAGGTTCATTCAAGATTCAATAAGCGACTTGTGGAGCGCGGCAGCAGCAGTGCTCATGCTGCCGTGCTGCGCTGCCTGCCCCATGCGCGATATGGCCTCCGATGATTGCGCTGCCGGGACAGGAAATGAGAGGGAAACGGAGAGAAGGGAGAGGGCAGGGAACGCTTGGATAGGGTTCAAGATTCAATAAGCGTCTTGTGGAGCGCGGCAGCAGCAGGGCTCATGCTGCCGTGCTGCGCTGCCTTTCCCATGCGCGATATGGCCTCCGATGATTGCGCTGGTGGGACAGGAAACGAGAGGGAAACGGAGAGAAGGGAGAGGGCAGGGAACGCTTGGATAGGGTTCAAGATTCAATAAGCGTCTTGTGGAGCGCGGCAGCAGCAGGGCTCATGCTGCCGTGCTGCGCTGCCTGCCTCATGCGCGATATGGCCTCTGACGATTGCGCTGGAGGAAGGGAGGAGGAGGGGAGAGGGGGAAGGGGAGAGAGAAGAAAGAACGAGGGATCAAGTTCTAAGAGAGTCCTTGAGAAAGCACAGCAGCAGGGCTCATGCTGCCGTGCTGCGCTGCCTGCCCCATGCGCGATATGGCCTCCGATGATTGCGCTGCCGGGACAGGAAATGAGAGGGAAACGGAGAGAAGGGAGAGGGCAGGGAACGCTTGGATAGGGTTCAAGATTCAATAAGCGTCTTGTGGAGCGCGGCAGCAGCAGGGCTCATGCTGCCGTGCTGCGCTGCCTTTCCCATGCGCGATATGGCCTCCGATGATTGCGCTGGTGGGACAGGAAACGAGAGGGAAACGGAGAGAAGGGAGAGGGCAGGGAACGCTTGGATAGGGTTCAAGATTCAATAAGCGTCTTGTGGAGCGCGGCAGCAGCAGGGCTCATGCTGCCGTGCTGCGCTGCCTGCCCCATGCGCGATATGGCCTCTGACGATTGCGCTGGAGGAAGGGAGGAGGAGGGGAGAGGGGGAAGGGGAGAGAGAAGAAAGAACGAGGGATCAAGTTCTAAGAGAGTCCTTGAGAAAGCACAGCAGCAGGGCTCATGCTGCCGTGCTGCGCTGCCTGCCCCATGCGCGATATGGCCTCCGATGATTGCGCTGCCGGGACAGGAAACGAGAGGGAAACGGAGAGAAGGGAGAGGGCAGGGAACGCTTGGATAGGGTTCAAGATTCAATAAGCGTCTTGTGGAGCGCGGCAGCAGCAGGGCTCATGCTGCCGTGCTGCGCTGCCTGCCCCATGCGCGATATGGCCTCCGATGATTGCGCTGCCGGGACAGGAAATGAGAGGGAAACGGAGAGAAGGGAGAGGGCAGGGAACGCTTGGATAGGGTTCAAGATTCAATAAGCGTCTTGTGGAGCGCGGCAGCAGCAGGGCTCATGCTGCCGTGCTGCGCTGCCTGCCCCATGCGCGATATGGCCTCCGATGATTGCGCTGCCGGGACAGGAAATGAGAGGGAAACGGAGAGAAGGGAGAGGGCAGGGAACGCTTGGATAGGGTTCAAGATTCAATAAGCGTCTTGTGGAGCGCGGCAGCAGCAGGGCTCATGCTGCCGTGCTGCGCTGCCTGCCCCATGCGCGATATGGCCTCCGATGATTGCCCTTCCGGGACAGGAAACGAGAGGGAAACGGAGAGAAGGGAGAGGGCAGGGAACGCTTGGATAGGGTTCAAGATTCAATAAGCGTCTTGTGGAGCGCGGCAGCAGCAGGGCTCATGCTGCCGTGCTGCGCTGCCTTTCCCATGCGCGTTGGAGGGAGAGGAGAGAGGGGAGAGGGGAGAGGGGAGAGGGGGCGGGGAGAGGAGAGAGGGGAGAGGGGAGAGGGGAGAGAGCAGGAAGAATAAAGAGATCACGATTCAAGAAAGGCCTTGTGAAAAACCGCAGCACAGGACGGCAGGAGCTGAAACTGGAGGACAAGAAAGTTGGAGGGTCATAGAGGAGAATCACCTGGCAGCAGGCGCAGAGCAGCAAGGCGCTGGTACGTGGGTGTCTGGGCGTGTCCTGAATGGCCGGATATTGAGGGGGCAGGACTCACCCGGTAGCAGGCGCAGAGCAGCAAGGCGCTGGTACGTGGGCGTGTCCTGAATGCCTGGTTCTTTGAGGCGCCTAAGATCTTGCCACAGGCACACACAGAGAGAGCACACACTCACCCGGCAGCAGGCGCAGAGCAGCAAGGCGCTGGTACGTTGGAGTGTCCTGGTGACTCTTGACTTAAGTATGTAGACTTTTGAATACACAGAGCGCAGGAAGGAACTCAACCCACCCGGCAGCAGGCGCAGGGTAGCAAGGCGCTGGTACGTGGGCGTGTCCTGAATAGCCGGCCCGTCCCTCGCTGCTGCTGCCAGCGTCTGCGGCGTTGCTATTATCCCCTCCACTGTCGCATGTGCCAGCTCAAAGCCCCCTGCCACGGGCTGTAGAGAGCACACACTCACCCGGCAGCAGGCGCAGGGCAGCAAGGCGCTGGTATGTGGGCGTGTCCTGGTGACTCTTGACTTAAGTAAGTAGACTTTTGAATACACAGAGCGCAGGAAGGAACTCAACGCACCCGGCAGCAGGCGAAGAGCAGCAAGGCGCTGGTACGTGGGCGTGTCCTGAATAGCCGGCCCGTCCCTCTCTGCTGCTGCCAGCGTCTGCGGCGTTGCTATTATCCCCTCCACTGTCGCATGCGCCAGCTCAAAGCCCCCTGCCACGGGCTGTAGAGAGCACACACTCACCCGGCAGCAGGCGCAGGGCAGCAAGGCGCTGGTACGTGGGCGTGTCCTGGATGGCCGGCCCGTCCCTCGCTGCTGCTGCCAGCGTCTGCGGCGTTGCTATGATCCCCTCCACTGTCGCATGTGCCAGCTCAAAGCCCCCTGCCACGGGCTGTAGAGAGCACACACTCACCCGGCAGCAGGCGCAGGGCAGCAAGGCGCTGGTACGTGGGCGTGTCCTGGATGGCCGGCCCGTCCCTCGCTGCTGCTGCCAGCGTCTGCGGCGTTGCTATGATCCCCTCCACCGTCGCATGCGCCAGCTCAAAGCCCCCTGCCACGGGCTGTAGATTGCGAGACGAGGAAGAGGAGCAAAGACAGGGGGTTGGGGAAGAGAGAGGCATCAGGGAGAAATGTGTGACGGTGCTGTGAGGCTTCAGGGCTGTTACAGCAATTGTCAGCAGTAATCTGTGAGGGTTATTCCCTCTGCTGTTGCGTGTGCCTGCTCAAATCTCTTTGCCACTAAGATGGCTTTGTTTGACGCCAGAAACCCAAAGCGTCAGGCGTCAAAACGCCAGGCTTTGACGCTTGATGCGCGTCAAAACGTAAAAAAACGCTTGCCACACGCTTGAGATGGCGAGAGATGCAAGATAGAAGACGGGAAGGTGGAGGGGGTGGGCGGCTGTGGGACGTAGGTTTGGAGAGTGGATGAGATGAATGGGAGGACGGGCGGAAAATGAGAGTAAATACTGGGAGAATGCGGACTAGCTGATTGAATATAGATATGGTTGTGCATTCTAGGACGATGGATAAAGGGAGCGAGAACTCACCTTGCAGATTGCACTGGTGAGCGTTGCGGAGGGAAGAGTTGAAACGGAGAATTTGATGAGGCACCGGACGGTGTGAAGTGAGACCATACATGCACACACACAGATATGTATGCACATGCACAGGTGCCAACATGTAAACATGCGTACATTGCAGGCACAGGTGCCAGGGGCCAGGGACGAAAAAACATTCCGTCTACAGAATCAAGATTGGCGAATTGGGTTGACAATGTGGGAAGGTCAAGAGGTAAGGATGAGAAGACGGATTCGAGAGTGAGAAGACGAGAAGGCGGTAGGCGCAAGTGCGAATGACTGCACTGACTGCACTGACTGCACTGACTGCACTGACTGCACTGACTGCACTGACTGCACTGACTGACCCTGCAAGTCCCTTGGCCAGCCCTCGCATGACTGCTGCTGCCGGCACTGCGGATGACCCTGACCCCTTGTCTCGCGCCATCGCCATGGCCTTCATTGGCTCTGTCTGCACACATGCATGGATGGATGGATGGATTGATACCACAAGCGGGTTCATGCAACTTTTGAGACGTCTCAAAACATGACTGCTGCTGCCGGCACTGCGGGTGATCCTGACCCCTTGTCTCGCGCCATCGCCATGGCCTTCATTGGCTCTGTCTGCACACATGCAATGGATGGACGCGTACGTGCATGTATGCACACTGATGGTATGTGTGTGTGCACAGTTAGCCGTGGCTATGCCAGGTTTAATTGGCCCTGTGCAACACGTATTCCAACCCACTCCACCCAGCCCCACTCCACCCCACCCCACCCCACCCCACCCCACCCCACCCCACCCCACCCCACCCCACCCCAAACCAACCCATCCCACCCCACCACACCACACCGCTCCCACTCACCACGAGCCCAGTGAGGCCATCATACAGGTCGCTGCCAAAGCACCTCATGCCCATCAGAATGCCTTCCCCTATGTGGTGACTTAGTCACCTCTTTTGAGTCGACTCAAAAGTCACCCACTCACCACGAGCCCAGTGAGGCCATCATACAGGTCGCTGCCAAAGCACCGCATTCCCACCAGAATGCCTTCCCCTATGTGGTGACTTAGTCACCTCTTTTGAGTCGACTCAAAAGTCACCCACTCACCACGAGCCCAGTGAGGCCATCATACAGGTCGCTGCCGAAGCACCGCATTCCCACCAGAATGCCTTCCCCTATGTGTGTCGGCCGGGACCCATCCCCCTCGTCCTTGAGAAAGTCTGGCTTTGCCTCCTCTATCCTCCTCACCATCGTGGGAGCACTCGCCACTACCATCCCACCTGCACCACTATTACTATTAGCACCACCACCACCGCCACCGCCACCACTCTCCCCCCCTGTCAACGCCGCCCCTTCAGAACCCTCCCCGCCTCCTCCCCAGCCGTTTCCTCCATTTCCCCCATTTCCTCCGCTTCCCCCTTGCCCAGGACTTCCCCCCCGTCCGCCCCCTCCCCCCTTCTCCTCCCCCGCCCCCTTCTCTTCCCCCACAGCCATCCTCGACCCTGGCTTCTTTGTTGCTGATCCAGGGGACGAGCTGGGCTTATAACGGGACAGAGCTTGAGAAGGGGATACAGAGGAGGAGGACCCAAACGCTGGGTCTAGGTGCAGAGCGGTGGGATGCGATAACAGCCCCACAGAGTCCTCCTGACGGGAGGAAGAACCAGGAAAAGAGGCGGGGAAGGGGGAGGAGGCGGAGGGGGAGCCATAGAAAGCGGAGGAGGAGGCGGAGGAGGAGGAGGGGAGGGGGGTGATGACGGGGGAAGGGGGGGCGGAGCCCTGTTTGTCTTCTAGTGCAGGGGAGCGGCCGAACAGCGCGTCGGGGGTGCGGCGAAAACCGTCTCCTAGCTGCTGAGAGAGCATTGCCACTCCCTCCACTGGATGCTTGATGGCGCTGGGGGAAGGGGAGACAAGGAGGGGGGACGGGAGTAGTAGGCGAGAACAGGTGGGGAGCTTCTTGTCTTAGTATTACTTCTAGCTGCTGAGAGAGCATTGCCACTCCCTCCACTGGATGCTTGATGGCGCTGGGGGAAGTTGAGTTGAGACAAGGGGAGGAGGGGGTAAAGAGAGAACGGGAGGTGAGATGAGCATTCTGTATCAGTGACACTCCTAGCTGCTGAGAGAGCATTGCCACTCCCTCCACTAGATGCTTGATGGCGCTGTGGGAAGTTGAGTTGAGACAAGGGGAGGAGGGGGTAAAGAGAGAACGGGAGGTGAGATGAGCATTCTGTATCAGTGACACTCCTAGCTGCTGAGAGAGCATTGCCACTCCCTCCACTGGATGCTTGATGGCTCTGGGGGAAGGGGAGAGGTGGGGCGGGGTTGAGAAAGAGAGAGGTGGTGGAAAGGTGAACACTTCGTGTGAGATACAGTCCCAACTAGCTGCTGAGAAAGTTAAAGCATGGCTACGCCCTCCACTGGATGCACGAGGGGTGTGAGGGAGTGTGAGCAGGTGTGGAAGGGTGTGAGGCAGGCTGGCTCACTCACCCTGTGATCCCCATGGAAAGGCCGTGCATAAGCCCCGATATTGAGAGTTCTCAAACTCAACTTCCTAAAAAAAGGAACAGCTCACTCACCCTGTGATACCCATGGAAAGGCCGTGCATTAGCCCCGATACACCCTCCTTTGATGCACCCTCTATAGGGTCATTCTGCATGGCAACAGGTGTGTGACATAAACACACACACACACACACACACACACACACACACACACACACACACACACACTACCCTCAACACACACGCACGCACGCGCACACACACACACGCACACAGAAGGTCCCAACTGCTCATATTCAGGCATATGCTGTGTTAACTACAGATAAGGCCAAGGGCGTAACACAGAGCACGATTGCAAGACCGGATGCAGCAGCACACACGGGGTTAGCCACTACCACAGCACTGTACCAGACCACGCTGCACCGCACTGCAACGCACTGCACCCACCAGCAGGTGATCCAGCCCATGCACGAATTTAGCAGCAAAGGCATGCAAGCCTGACACTAGCCCCTCGCCCACGTGTCTTGGTCCTGCCTTCCAGCCTGGTGGGAGAATACAGAAGGAAAAGAGAACAGAGAGGAACAAAGACTAGCTTTGAGACATCTAACAAGTCGTCCATGTGCCATGCTCTTTCCATCCCACCCTCCCCAGCCCTTCCCCTCCACATTCCCTCTCTGTGGCTCCTCCCAGTCTGCAAGTGCTCCCCATGTTCTGTACAGACGCTCTAGAACCACTTGACGGCTCTCCAAGCTCTCTCCTCACATGCAGCACACAACATTCCCTCACTCACACTCACTCACTCCCTCCCTCCCTCACTCACCCACCCACCCACATCCCTCCCTCCACGTCGCATTTCGCAGCCTCTCTATAGCGTCCAGCACGGCCATTCTGGGCCCCAGCGACGGCATCATAGGCGTCTCAAAGGTCACCCACACTCAAAGGCCACCCCACACTCAACGGCCACCCCACACTCACTTCCTCACTCACCCACTCACAACCCCCAGTCGCACCTCGCAGCCTCTCTATAGCGTTTAGCACGGCCATTCTGGGCCCCAGCGACGGCACCAGCTCTGCCAGTGACTCCCGGGACAGCCGCAGCAGCACCAACTCCTCTCAGCCAGCCTGCATGTGCTCCCCACGCCAGGAAAGAACGTTCTAGAAGCACTTGCTGCAGGCTCTCCCTGCTCACTCCTCACCCTCCGCATTCACACACACTCTCCCTCCCATCCGCCCCACACCCAACCACCCAACCACACACCCCCCAATCGCACCTCGCAGCTTTTCTATGGCATCCAAAACGGCCATTCTGGGCCCCAATGACGGCACCAGCTCTGCCAGTGACTCCCGGGTCAGCCGCAGCAGCACAGCACCGTTGATCTGCTGAGTGGCGAACACCTCCCTGTACTCGCCAAAGCCCTCCCTCTGCAGCCACTCGCCCACGCCCTGTGGGGAGATGGGTCGATGGGAGGTGTTTTAGAGTTATCAACAGCAGCAGCACAGCGCCGTTGATCTGCTGAGTGGCGAACACCTCCCTGTACTCGCCAAAGCCCTCCCTCTGCAGCCACTCGCCCACGCCCTGTGGGGAGATGGGTCGATGGGAGGTGTTTTAGAGTTATCAACAGCAGCAGCACAGCGCCGTTGATCTGCTGAGTGGCGAACACCTCCCTGTACTCGCCAAAGCCCTCCCTCTGCAGCCACTCGCCCACGCCCTGTGGGGAGGAGGTTAGGGAGCGAATGATGAGGCGTGGGAGGTTGAAGGGAGAGACGTGAGTGTGCGAAGTGGGTGCATTGTTTGTGCAGGTGCAGTGAGATAGGGAGGTTGGCCTTGGTTGCACCAGATTCGACTCGCCAAGAATGTCACCCGAACCGCCCAAACGCGACCACATTCAAGCACACATCACCGGAAAACGAAAAGAAAAGTAAGGAAAAAAGGAAACAACAAAAAAAATACCACCTTCTCACGGTTACCCGTTAAAGGGACTGGTGAACATACACATTCCGCTTGCCTTTTCTTTCTGCTTGCCGTTTTTTCTTCCGCTTGCCTTTCTCGTCCTGTAATCTTGTCTGTTCCATCCCACCCCACCCCCCTCGCTAGCCCTCCCTCACCTCCACAGACCACGAGAGCGGGTCGTCAGGGTGTCCTGCCAGTGCCACGTTAGCCAGCGCGCCTCGACCTTCCTCTCGCCCTCCTTCCCACCTCCCGCTCCCTTCTCCCGCTCCACCTCCTCTCCCATCGCCAATGCCGCCGCCATCACCGCCCTCACCGGCACCGCCGCCACCGCCGCCGCCGCCGCGGTTACCGCCGCTAAAACTGTTCCCTGCGCTGCCAATGGCGTATCCGCCTGCTGCTGTTGCTGCTGCTGCTAGAACCTGGTTGGTTACGGCGCTGCTGCTGTTCGCGCCTCGCTCCGCGACGTCCTCATTTTCGCCTCCCATGCGAGCTTCCTTGCGAGCTTCTATGTAAACTTCTTCTTATGCAAGCTTAAACTTATTTCTACGCGAGCTTTTATGCGACAATCTACGAACAGGTATCCGTGAGAAGGAAACAGTACGGACGGGTGGTGGTGGGAGGGAGGTCGCCGAAAAGGATGGCGGGATGAATGCACCTTTCTACCGACTCAAGAGACGGTAAAACGCCGTAACGTGCCAGCTTGGGTTTGTGCAGTTTCTCCGAATGAACCTACGCAATGAGACTAGTCAAGAATCAAGACACAGAATGACGGACAAAGCGCAGTGCAGGACATTCTTCCTCCTAAGCTCCGCGCGCGGGTGGAGTCCTACGGAATTTGGAATGCCGTGCCAATTGTGTGTGAAAGCACAAGCTGCGTTGCGTGTAGGAGTTGTATCAAATATGTACATACATATATGTGTGTGCTATGCTATGCATGCAATGACAATGAATATCCATCCAAGTTGCTAAAAGGGGTAGTTGATAAAAGGGCTGGTTTATTCATAGAAAGCAAGCTGCTCACTATACTTGGCCATGTGGAAAGAAGTTGTTTAGCTGAGCTCAACGCTTCAGAATGTGTAAAGAGGCAATCCTAACCCGAAAGTCTGTGGTTGGTTTGCACTTTCTACGCAAACACGGAGTATTCTAAATCGGAGCCTAGTGGTAATCGTTGTCGCAGCCTTACCCAGAAACCGCCCGCCGTCGTCCCAGCTCAAAACTGCATCATTTCTCACCGCACACAGTCCAACTAAAACGCCTATAAATCCTCAAAAACAAGAGGCACCGCTCATTTCTACGTACGAACCGTGGAGGTTAGATCATTTGAATGCCAGTTTCCTCCTGCGACCGCACCAGAGCAGAAAAGCCCACTGGCCGAAAATGCTTTGTAAGGGCGCGTAACCATTTTGGTTTTGACGGTTCGTTATTCGGACAGTCCGTTCGAAACACTGGTTATATTTTTCGACATTGCTCGCAGATGTTTCGCAAGTAACCCTGCGACGTCGCCGTCGCAACATAACCGTACTGAACTTTTTCCGCAAAACCGAGGGAAACCGTCACTTGCACGGTTACGGTTCGTCAGCAATGAACTGATCAAAGAGGCGTGTGGTGAGTGCGTGGAGTGGAATGTGAAAAAGGGGGGGTTGATCCGTGGGGGGGGGGTTGATCCGTGGTGGGGGGGGGTTGATCCGTGGTGGGGGGATGTGCTAGCGTGGGACGACTGGGTGCCTGTGGCGAGTGGTAGGACGTATGGGACTCAGTGGCTATAGACCGGCTCAAGGAGGCGTGTGGTGAGTGCGTGGAGTGGAATGTGAAAAAGGGGGGGTTGATCCGTGGGGGGGGGGTTGATCCGTGGGGGGGGGGTTGATCCGTGGTGGGGGGGGTTGATCCGTGGGGGGGGGATGTGCTAGCGTGGGACGACTGGGTGCCTGTGGCGAGTGGTAGGACGTATGGGACTCAGTGGCTATAGACCGGCTCAAGGAGGCGTGTGGTGAGTGCGTGGAGTGGAATGTGAAAAAGGGGGGGTTGATCCGTGGGGGGGGGGTTGATCCGTGGGGGGGGGGTTGATCCGTGGTGGGGGAGGTTGATCCGTGGTGGGGGGATGTGCTAGCGTGGGACGACTGGGTGCCTGTGGCGAGTGGTAGGACGTATGGGACTCAGTGGCTATAGACCGGCTCAAGGAGGCGTGTGGTGAGTGCGTGGAGTGGAATGTGAAAAAGGGGGGGTTGATCCGTGGGGGGGGGGGTTGATCCGTGGGGGGGGGATGTGCTAGCGTGGGACGACTGGGTGCCTGTGGCGAGTGGTAGGACGTATGGGACTCAGTGGCTATAGACCGGCTCAAGGAGGCGTGTGGTGAGTGCGTGGAGTGGAATGTGAAAAAGGGGGGGTTGATCCGTGGGGGGGGGGTTGATCCGTGGGGGGGGGGTTGATCCGTGGTGGGGGGGGTTGATCCGTGGTGGGGGGATGTGCTAGCGTGGGACGACTGGGTGCCTGTGGCGAGTGGTAGGACGTATGGGACTCAGTGGCTATAGACCGGCTCAAGGAGGCGTGTGGTGAGTGCGTGGAGTGGAATGTGAAAAAGGGGGGGTTGATCCGTGGGGGGGGGGTTGATCCGTGGGGGGGGGGTTGATCCGTGGTGGGGGGGGTTGATCTGTGGTGGGGGGATGTGCTAGCGTGGGACGACTGGGTGCCTGTGGCGAGTGGTAGGACGTATGGGACTCAGTGGCTATAGACCGGCTCAAGGAGGCGTGTGGTGAGTGCGTGGAGTGGAATGTGAAAAAGGGGGGGTTGATCCGTGGGGGGGGGGTTGATCCGTGGGGGGGGGGTTGATCCGTGGTAGGGGGGGTTGATCCGTGGTGGGGGGATGTGCTAGCGTGGGACGACTGGGTGCCTGTGGCGAGTGGTAGGACGTATGGGACTCAGTGGCTATAGACCGGCTCAAGGAGGCGTGTGGTGAGTGCGTGGAGTGGAATGTGAAAAAGGGGGGGTTGATCCGTGGGGGGGGGGTTGATCCGTGGGGGGGGGGTTGATCCGTGGTGGGGGGGGTTGATCCGTGGTGGGGGGATGTGCTAGCGTGGGACGACTGGGTGCCTGTGGCGAGTGGTAGGACGTATGGGACTCAGTGGCTATAGACCGGCTCAAGGAGGCGTGTGGTGAGTGCGTGGAGTGGAATGTGAAAAAGGGGGGGTTGATCCGTGGGGGGGGGGTTGATCCGTGGGGGGGGGGGTTGATCCGTGGGGGGGGGGTTGATCCGTGGGGGGGGGGATGTGCTAGCGTGGGACGACTGGGTGCCTGTGGCGAGTGGTAGGACGTATGGGACTCAGTGGCTATAGACCGGCTCAAGGAGGCGTGTGGTGAGTGCGTGGAGTGGAATGTGAAAAAGGGGGGGTTGATCCGTGGGGGGGGGGTTGATCCGTGGGGGGGGGATGTGCTAGCGTGGGACGACTGGGTGCCTGTGGCGAGTGGTAGGACGTATGGGACTCAGTGGCTATAGACCGGCTCAAGGAGGCGTGTGGTGAGTGCGTGGAGTGGAATGTGAAAAAGGGGGGGTTGATCCGTGGGGGGGGGGTTGATCCGTGGGGGGGGGGTTGATCCGTGGTGGGGGGGGTTGATCCGTGGTGGGGGGATGTGCTAGCGTGGGACGACTGGGTGCCTGTGGCGAGTGGTAGGACGTATGGGACTCAGTGGCTATAGACCGGCTCAAGGAGGCGTGTGGTGAGTGCGTGGAGTGGAATGTGAAAAAGGGGGGGTTGATCCGTGGGGGGGGGGTTGATCCGTGGGGGGGGGGTTGATCCGTGGTGGGGGGGGTTGATCCGTGGTGGGGGGATGTGCTAGCGTGGGACGACTGGGTGCCTGTGGCGAGTGGTAGGACGTATGGGACTCAGTGGCTATAGACCGGCTCAAGGAGGCGTGTGGTGAGTGCGTGGAGTGGAATGTGAAAAAGGGGGGGTTGATCCGTGGGGGGGGGGTTGATCCGTGGGGGGGGGGTTGATCCGTGGTGGGGGGGGTTGATCCGTGGTGGGGGGATGTGCTAGCGTGGGACGACTGGGTGCCTGTGGCGAGTGGTAGGACGTATGGGACTCAGTGGCTATAGACCGGCTCAAGGAGGCGTGTGGTGAGTGCGTGGAGTGGAATGTGAAAAAGGGGGGGTTGATCCGTGGGGGGGGGGGTTGATCCGTGGTGGGGGGGGTTGATCCGTGGTGGGGGGATGTGCTAGCGTGGGACGACTGGGTGCCTGTGGCGAGTGGTAGGACGTATGGGACTCAGTGGCTATAGACCGGCTCAAGGAGGCGTGTGGTGAGTGCGTGGAGTGGAATGTGAAAAAGGGGGGGTTGATCCGTGGGGGGGGGTTGATCCGTGGGGGGGGGGTTGATCCGTGGTGGGGGTGGTTGGCGCACGAAATTCTTCTGTACTCGCGGGGAAACTGAAACTGACATTTTTTCGGTGAGCTCATTCATGAACGTGCGAAATTGTTGGCCGAGCCGCATATATTGGCTCGCGAAAATTGCGAGAGCTGTATGATTGCGTAACAGTCGTTATTTTCGCGTGAGTTCAAAACATAAAAAAAGTTCAACAAGACGGTTCAAATGTTGGAGTTTTGTTTCGTTAGACGGACGGTTCGTTATGTGCAATGGAACCGTCCATCTGTCGAACGTTCGTTCTAAACGTAACTTCAGGAAAAACGAAAATGGTTACGCGCCCTAAGAAAAGCCTTTTAGCTCGAGTTAGCTCCCGCAAATCAGTAACTGACGTGGCTGGCGTCTCCTTCTCGTCTCGATCTCTCGTTCTATGCACGAAAAGGCGATGCCTTGTGTCGTTCGCAGGAACAGATTATGAATCGTGCATCGACGATCCAGTGAATGGCTTTTACTCGCAGCGAGTTACAGCCAGAGCCGTGGGTAGAACCAAACAAGCATCGGATCGGGGTCGATAGGTAAAGGAGAGATTCGGTACGATATTTGTCACCTTCGGGAGGGTACTCTCCGGCGGAGAACGGTTCGGAGTGGTGAGAACACAGCCCCACGAGAGAAGCAAAAGCCATGCCGTCAGTGCGATCGACGTCTGAGATTCCATCAGCGTCCCGCAGTAGACGCCGTTCCGTACGCTCTAAACGTTCCGGCGAGGCGGCCTATGCGGCAATTACTTCCGCGTTCAGCGGCGGGATTCGCGGGATAGCCTCGCGGATCAGCAGTGCTTTCGTGCGAACGAGAGACGCGGATGGAGCCGATTCCCGGAGATCATCATTTGGTACATTGACGGCGGCAGGATGGGCATGGATAGGATGGATGTGGAGTTTCGTAGTGGGAACAGGACGATCGGCGGAAGCGGGGGGTTCAAGGTCGAGAGGCGGATCAGGAGCAGCGGCAACGGCGGTCGTTGCAGGCGCGGTGGCTGTCGCGGTTATCGTGCACTGCTGGCTCGATATCCTCGCTCAAGTACACACACTCTCCCGCTCTCTCTTTCCCCCCGTTCCCCCATCAACCCGCCTATCACCCTCTGCCCCACCCCCCATTTCCCCTTTCCCCCCACCCGCCTCCTCTTCCTTCTCGAATGGACTTCTGTGCGTTCTTCACCCCCCTCCTTCGCCCCGCCTCCCGTCCCCCCCCCCTCTCTTTCCCGTCCCCACCACGCTTGCTACCTCCTCCCACCCACTTCCTCACTTCAGCAATTTCCCGCCTCTCTCTCTTCCCCTCTCGCGCGCACACGCGCCTATGGCCTGCTTCCCACCTGCACGCATCTTCTCATGAGCCTACCTGTGTCTGTGCATGCTGCTGTGATGGGTGGGGTGTGCTGCATGGTGCTGCTGTGACGGATGGGGAGTGCTGCATGGTGCTGTACGGTGGGCTGGGAATGGGAACGGTTTCCAGGAGCAAGTGCGTATACTGGCAGCGTCAGCAGCGGCAAGCAACCAAGCCACACTGCGTGAACTATCACGCCTCACAGCCAGCCTCAAAGGTGGGTGGAATGTGCAATAGCAGCCAGCCAGCCTTCAAAGCTTTCCATTGAATGTATTTTTCAGAGTCAGGTAGCTTTCCTTTGCAAAGTTGTGGTTCTTTTTTTAAGGTCCCCTCACCTCAGGTCAGGCTGCTTGCTGGACTGGGCCCTCTCAGGCCCTGAATGCCACTGCTTTTCAATGGCCCTCTCCCAAGCTCGCCGCCTCTCTAGTTCCATGCTGAAGCTGTTTTGCTGGAGCTTCTGCTTCTGTCTCCCCACACAAGTTCCTCACGTTCCCATCTCCGTTCCGCCATCCCTTTTTCCCTTTTTTCACCACCACAGAGTACGAGTCTCGTCCCCTGCCAGGCTGCATACTCTACGTGGACGATCGCTCACTCAACGCCTCCCACATAGCAGGCCCCTGGCCCATCTCCCCCCTCTCCAACCCCTCCTCCTCCTCCTCCTCCTCTTCCTCCTCCTCCTCCTCGGCCTACACGTCAGACGGCTCTGATTCTGACTCGGACTCTGGCTGTGGCTCCTACCCACACAACTACATGGAGGAGAATGGGGAGAACATGCCGTACTGGGCTGCCTCAAAGATTATCAACCGGTGAGTTTTGAGGCGCCTCAAAAGACGGCTCTGATTCTGACTCTGACTCTGGCTCCTACGGTCCTACCCGCACAACTACATGGAGGAGAATGGGGAGAACATGCCTTATTGGGCTGCTTCAAAGATTATCAACCGGTGAGTGGCAAGAGGATGGAAGGAGGAAGGAGGAAGAGGCACGTGGAAAGGAGGAAGAGGCAAGTGGAAAGGAGGAAGAGGCAAGTCGGAAGGAGGAAGGAGGAAGAGGCAAGTGGATGCAAGGATGCAAGTAGCCTCTTTTACGCAACATGTGGTTTTTGAGAATTCTTAAAAAACACCTCCCATGTGGTTATTTTACGCAGCATTTCCTCCTTCCCCCCCTCTTAGCTAGTCGATTTTTGAGTCGACTCAAAAATCGACTTAGCTAGACCATAACGCAGACACTTCTGCGACTCCTTCCTTTGCGCCCTTTTTTGAATTCCTCGCGTTTGATTCAAAGTAGTTGAAGATTATGACTCACATTCCATCTCTTTTTCTCTCCTTCCCGTTCCCGCTCCTTCTCTCTACCCCTCTAGGGCCTACGCCCGCAAGCATGGGTACCGATTTGCAGTCATGGACCCCACACGGTACCAACAAGAGTTCTGATCGTCTCAAAACTCCTTCCCTACCCCTCTCCTTCCTTCTCTCTACCCCTCTAGGGCCTACGCCCGCAAGCATGGGTACCGATTTGCAGTCATGGATCCGACGCGCTACCAGCAAGACAGACACTCGTCATGGTTCAAGGTAACAAACAAAACAACCTCACAGCGGTTCAAGGTAACAAGCAGCTAATACAATGGTTCTCCAGGTGAGAACGATTATACACCCTTCATCGCTCAACATGACAAACAACCTCAATGGTTTACACCCTTCCTTCCACCCTGTCTTCCACCCTCTTTCCACGTCCTCGTTCCACATCCTCGTCCCGCATTCCCTCTCTGCAGGGGCTCTTCATCCAGGGGCACCTCACGCGCTGCTGCGCTGCCAGAGGGCCTTCCGCAACAACTCAAGATCCTCTGTGTTCTACTCTACTCCACTAGGCAAAACGTCCCCCCTTGTCTCCTTGTCTCTCCATGCACGGACACTGCCGTGCCGTGCCTGCTGCGCTGCACAGGTGCTCTTCATCCAAGAGCAGCTCATGACTTTTTAGGCGTCTCTCGTGTTTTGAGTCGACTCGAAACACGATCCATGCACGGACAATGCCGTGCCGTGCCTGCTGCACTGCACAGGTGCTCTTCATCCACGAGCAGCTCATGAGTCATGACTTTTGAGGCGTCTCTCTTTCCGCAGCAGCTCGAAAGCCCACATGCATGCAGACACAAGCGGCGGGTGTTACTCCTCGACCAGGAAAGCCTTGTCTCCTTGCCTGCTTGTGTCTGCATGCATGTATGATGCCATGCCCTCTCTGCAGGTGCTGTTCATCCAGGAGCAGCTCACGTGCTGCTGCCGGTGGGCCTTCTGTATTGACTCGGACGGCCCTGTTTCAGTTCAGCCCACCAGGCAAAACCTTCCGCGTTGTCTCCTTGTGTCTGCATGCATGTATGATGCCGTGCCCTCTCTGCAGGTGCTGTTCATCCAGGAGCAGCTCACGTGCTGCTGCCGGTGGGCCTTCTGCATTGACTCTGACGCCCCTGTTTGACCTCAATGACTTAAAGCCTTCTTCTGCTGCGTCTCTTATGGGTGATGCCATGCCCTCTCTGCAGGTGCTGTTCATCCAGGAGCAGCTCACGTGCTGCTGCCGGTGGGCCTTCTGCAGCGGCTCAAAGGCCCCTGTTTTCGTCCACTAGGCAAAACCGTCTGTCTGCTGGGTGCGCATGCTTGGATGATGCCTCCTTGTCGTGCCCTCTCTGCAGGTGCTGTTCATCCAGGAGCAGCTCACGTGCTGCTGCCGGTGGGCCTTCTGCATTGACTCTGACGCCCCTGTTTGACCTCAATGACTTAAAGCCTTCTTCTGCTGCGTCTCTTATGGGTGATGCCATGCCCTCTCTGCAGGTGCTGTTCATCCAGGAGCAGCTCACGTGCTGCTGCCGGTGGGCCTTTTGTATTGACTCGGACGCCTACTTCCGCTTCAACACCCACCAGCTCTCCGTCGAGTCATGGCTCTCCCAGCTTCAAATCGATGTCAGTTCATTGCGGTTCCTTTCAGTTCATCTTTGCTCCTGCGTTATGCTAGTCCCAATTGCCCACGGGTCCCTCACTTCACAACATCTTTCTGCTGTCGAATTCTCTCCTCGCATCCCCTTCTTACACCTGGTCATGAAAATCCTTTTCATGCAGGGCTATTTTGACTGGATACCCAAGGACTACGGGGCTAGTCTGGTAAACCAGACGCATTTCCCCCGCGACCCTGCCACGCTCCTCCTGCCTGACGACGGTGACAAGGATGCAGTTTTCGCGCTCTTCCCTCGGAACGTGGACGACCGATACTCACAGTACCCACATGCGCGAGCAGAAGCACTTTTCAACCCTGATCTCGAGTTCATCAATGCTGGAGTCTCCTTGTGGAGACGGTCGGCTGCTGCAATTGAGGTGAGCCGTGCAGTGGTGGTTTTTGAGTCGACTATACAGTCACCGCTGTACCCGCATGCCCGAGCAGAGGCGCTTTTGAACCCTGATCTCGAGTTCATCAATGCTGGAGTCTCCTCTTGAGGTGAGTGGTAGTGTATTGCTGGTGCTACACGTGTGACTCTTTTGTGATGTTGATTGGATGTATCGTGCACTTCGTATCTATGTCGCGCAGTACGGAACCCGTGATTGCTGCATTTGTTTTAATAGCAATGTGGTGCTCCTGGGCAAAATGCACTGTTTTATGTATGTTGATGGTGTTTGTATCATTGTGTTAAGGTCGTGCTGCTGTTCCTTATTATGGGGTGTTTCCCTTCCCCAATTTCTCAGGCGTTGCGCATTTGGTACAGGGAGCAAGAGGAAAGTGAGTTTTTATGGGAGCACCCTTGGGAACAACGGCGCCTTGCCCGATTGGCTGCCTTTTATCGCAAAAACATGGTCATTGTTCCCTTTTTGGAACTCACTGGCCCGGATGGGCGCATGATTCGGCATTTTTGGAAGGGCATGGATAATCGGGAAGAGATGCTTAGATTGGCTGTTCTTGGTTCTGTGGTGGCGCATGAATTATACAATTAAGTTTTTAGTTGTAAATGTGTAATATTTCATAGTCGTTCATCATTGCATGTAACAGAAACAGCTTATTGCTTTGCAGGATTCAGAATGGCGAGTTGTTCTGCAGCCGCCCTGCGCCACGGTTTTCGGTTTGCTATGGTTGTAAGGACTGCCAGATCACCCTCTGATGAGTCAACCACGCCGCCTTACAGGTCGGTCAGACCAAGTTCATCGGCTCGCGTCCTTCGACCCGCCAGCTCACGTATTCTTCAGATTGCGTCATCGCCAACTGAATGGTGGCGGTTTTGTGAGCGAATCGACCGTCATGACAGCTCCAGTGAACCGCTCTCCAGTGAACCGCTCTGCAGCCTTCGACTCGACACCGTTTCAACTGACGCCAGTTGATCTGGCACCTTAGCGACGCCAAAGTGGCGGGGAAATCCGAACCAGAGACGTCGGTGTGGAAGGTCTGACCCGCGCTGCCGGCTAGGGCGGGGCGGCTCGTCCTGGCGGCTATGCCTGAGCGGCTGACGGTTTCTCCTGGCGACAAGAAAACGGAAAATCGCCAGAACGCATCACACTTCAGATTTCAGTGCATCGCCATAATTCCGTGGACGAAACCTCGACTAACGATATGACCGCTCGGTCGCAGCATTCTGTTTCGATCGTCTGGTGGTCGTTAGGGTCGCAAGGCGTAACCCTGTTTTTGTAGCACGCTGACTTTGGACAGTGGGGCGTCAACGCAGCCGACGCGCCCATACGCGCGAAAGTTGCGCGCTTGCGGATGGGTCCGCACTTTTCGCCCAACGCCGAGGGCAGGTTTAGCTACAACAATCATTCCATACATGGTCATGTTGCCATGGTTTCGCTACATGGTGACAACAATTCGTCACGTGCTATTGGCTTTCGCCAACTCCGAGAATGTCGTCAAATGAATCGTGCCCGGATTCCGTTTCTCTGAAGGACCTTGGGAATTTGGGGAAGCACTGTTTCACGAGTGGACTTGTCAAGAAGATTTCTGTTTCTCCTGCTATCACGTGTCTCCACTCCAGCAATGGTTGTTGCACCATCCTCCTTTCCCTCACTTCCCTGAGTCTTCTATCTTCAATCAGGAAGGCCTAAGTCCACGATCTCTCCTGCCCGGATCCAACAACGTTAGGAACTTGCTGACAGCCGCAGAAAAAGAGGAGTCCATTCACGAGAGGAAAATACTGATCGCAAGCTCAACAGAGGATCGCAACTGAATGAACTTTCAAATTGGGGAGTACGAATTGGAGCAGTCTACATGTTATTGGGCATAGCCGATCTGCTAATTTGCAGTTTACAAGTGCGGATGATCTGGAAAATAGTGTAACAGTAACGGATTGCAGCCAGTTGGAGTAGGCAACTAGATTGAATTAGTCCGCGTGGGTGCGCGCGACATGGGTGCTAACGCAACTAAAGCGGCAAGGCACGTGCTCAGCACGCGGCCGCACGTGCCTTGCCGCTTCGCGACCTTCGCGACCTCTTCGCTCACGCCGCCGAGTCGAACGCGCATCGGCAAGCGCAGGCGAGCCGCTTCCGCAGCCGCAACAGTCGCGGCAAAAATCAAGACCGGGAGGCAGCAGCATGCGTCCCGGTTGACGATGACGAACGGAGATGCGAACAACATCCCAGCGAAATTGCGCATGGAGATGGTAACTCTTGTGGCAAGGCGGACTGCAGCAGCGCAGGTGGGGCGCGATCGCGCGGAGGAATGGAGGGGTCGGCGGAAAGCATGATAGGCCCTTCCGTGCCGGGAGCTACGTCGAATGCGCGTTGCACGGAGAATTGCGGGCAGGGCTACGGGGAAGGATTTCCAGTCGACCGGATACCCTCTTCGTCCACTTCCGCGTCCGCTTCCCCAATCATCCCCATGTCTGCGCCCATTTTCCGCCAGTCCGTTCCGCCAGCGTACGCCACCTCCTCCTGCTCCTCCCCGTGCTCTCTCTCTCTGTCGTGTTGTGACGAAGGCTACGGCCTTTCGTCCACGCGTGATAGTTCCGACGCTTTCGATGGCGCTGGGGCGAGCGGCGAGCTTAACGGAGGCGGAGAGGTTTTTTGGGACCGCCCGCAAACGCCGCTGCTGCTGCTGGAGTGGCAGGAGAAGGTGGTGGGGGAGATGGACGATGAGGAGGATGAGGCGAGGTGCGCGGCTGCGACGGTTAACGGGAATCGCGGAGGGGAAGGCGGGGAAATAGAGGTCGATTGTTACGCGCGCGATTTGCGTGTGTGGGGGAGATTCAGAAGCGAGAGCTCGGAGGACGAGGAGGACGACGAGTTTAGAGAAGAAGGGTTTATTGTTCGGCGCAGGAGAAGGGGTACTTCTGACCGAAGCGCCTCTAACAGCAGTGCCTCTGGTAAGATTTGTTGTAGCGAGAATCATCGACCGCAAACGGAGTGTGTCAACGGCTGTCGGCATTTAGCAGAGGAGGTGGAACCAAAGGAGGAGATTGATGGTGGCGTTGGAGGCTTGCTTGACATAAGCAATCCCGTAGCAGTGAGTAGGGGTAGCGAGACAACCAACAGCAGAATTGGCAGGAACGGAAGCAGGAATAGGGGCAGCAGCCAGGATGGGAGCAGCCACAGCAGCCATGACAGCAATCGAAGCGTGGTAAATGAAGGCGAAGAGCCTTCTTCTGCTGCTTCAGCTGTTCTGTTTTCAGCTGCCGATGCTGTTACTGCTGGTGATGCTGGTGCCAGTACTGGATCAGATGCTTTTTCTGGCAATGCTGCATGTGAGCCCGCTGCTTGGGAATGCGCAGCAACCGGAAGGAGAGGAAGATCGCTCAAGGCAGTGGGTGATGACAGCAGGAGCGGAGTACTAAGGGGATGGGGACGGAGAGAAAGCGGAGGAAGAGCATTCTGGAGCGGACATTTGGACGTGAAAGCAGCTGGTTCTGGTACCATATGGTCAAGTGTCCCAAGTTGGAGACCCGCTGCTGCTGTTACCGCAGGGAATGCACAGTATACGGGAACTGACAAGGGACCTGGACAAATGAGGAGCAGTCTGCATGACACATCAGATGGTCACAGGCGCATAGGCAGCAGCAAGCACACTAGCAGCAGCAACAGGCATGAGTGGGCGCTGCTGGCAGCAGTTGAGCGGTTGGTGTGGCATCGTCTGCTCACAGAGTCAGACGAGCCTGTACTGCCAGAGCTTTTCTATAGGGTTCATACAACTGAGAAGAGTCGCTGTGAAAAGACTCCAGATTGGGAAACGTGACTTGAAGCAGGTGTACAAGTCTAAGCGCCATACCAACAGTGTTCCTGCAAAGCAGCACTATTGCAGCAGTTGTACCTACAAATCAGGCACCTTAGAAGCAGTTGTACCTATAAATCCAGCAACATACTAGTTGTTCATTCCTTTGTTCGCGCGCTACTGGTGCCAAGTTCTGAAAGCATTACTGGTGCCATATTTCTGGAAACTCTACTGGTGCCATTTTTTTATAAAAGCTCTACTGGTGTTGATTTTTCCGAAAGCTCTACTGTTGCAGTGTACTATGGCAAAATAGTAGGTACATAGTACTTTAGCTGGGGTATAATTGACATGCTACACAAAATATGTTGCACAATTATTATTCCTAACCTCTACAAAGGCTCGGATTAACCTGACAGTGTATAGAGACACAAGCTATTTAGCCACTCGATGCTTAGCACGGATAAACCGAACTAGCGAGGTCAGCCTTGTTTCTTCCCAGGCAGCGCGCCTCGAACCACTACGATCACGCGAGCCATATTCTGACATGTAATCGACTCCACCCACACGCCACCATTGGTTTCCCCTTCACCAGTAGCCCTTCGCCAGCCCTCGACGAGTCAATAATATTCAGGTTACCAAGTTACCCTATGACAGAACCTGCGCGGGTGCGACGTAGAGCTGTCCGCGAAGCAGCCCCTTGTTGAACTTCTCCGTGTACACCTGCACGTAGTACTCTCCCGCGTTGGTGATAATCGAACCCGTCTGCTCCGTGTCGGCCTGCAAGCACTTCATCTTGTTGCTGATCTCGAGGGTTGTAGATAGCACGATCGGGCCGCGCGACGAGTACGTGGCGCGATGGAGGTAAGCGTACGTCGGCTGCACCGGCACGTTCAGGAACTGAAACTCGTAGCAGATGCCTCCTCCGCCGATCTGCGCGAGAAACACCCCCGTTCCCGAAATTCCCGACGGCGGCTGCACCTGGTAACCATACAGCACGGCGAAAACCGTCAGCGAATCCGACAGCTGGCCGCGAAGCGCTCCTGACGGCTGACCGTTGGTGGAGACGTTCAGGTAATGCGCGGGAGGGTCTGTAAGGACATCGAGAATGGAGTTAGGATCAGGAGTCACGGAGTTCATGTCGCTGACTGCAGCTTTCCCGGGCCCGTAGAAGCTCACGAGGTAATTTCCTCCTTTTTGACCCTTATTGCCAGCAACGAGGTTCGCGGAGGTGCGAGGGCCGACGGCACGAGAGAAATTGAGCTGGTACTTAGCGGAGTAGAGCGAAAACGCCATGTCAGCGACAGCCATGCAGAGCTTTCCGCCGCAGCGCGCGCCGGCGTCGGTTGACGTGGCGGCGGTCATGAGCCGCGGCGTCGCGACGAGCTGCCCGCGAACGACACCGCCGGCGGTGTTCACTTGCACGTAGAACGACGTCGAGTTGTCGTTAAGAGCCTTAATAAGAGTGTGCTGCACAGAAATGCACCCCTTGGCGGGGCTGCTGCCAGAAGCCATCAGTTTCACCAGCGCTGTTCCGGTCTGCGCGATCGTCGCATGGTAGAGCACGACGGAGTTGACGGCCGGTAAATCGTCCGACTTGTAGAACCGGTAGCATATATCATGCCCGACAGCCTGGTCGATGCGGAATTTGACGACGACGAGCGCGGACCCGCGTGCCGCCGGCTGCGGCGCGTTGGGATTGTTGTCGTGCGCGAGGCGCGCATACTTGGGCGACGCGAGGCTGTAGAGCGCGAAAATGATCGGGCAGCGCACGCCATAGTAGCAGAAATTATCACAATTGCCGAGCCATGCGAGCTGCTTCACGGCTCCGGGGCAGGAATCGAGGAGCTCAGTGCCTATAGCTTGGTAGCAATGGCAGATGTTATCGGGAATGCCGAGGATTTTCTCGCGGTAAATCTTCTGCGCTTTGAGGCAGCGCGCGGTGAAGTCGCCCATGCAGTCTTGCGTGTACGGCTTAGAAGTGCAGACCTTGCACACGTCGGCGAGACTCGCGATGGTGCCGACGTCTGGGTCGGGCAGCTTGGGCCCAGGAGGGGGCAGGAGCGGCACGGTATCGGGAGGCGCCGTGAAGCCCGGAGGAGGGTCGTAGAGGAATTTGGCGCTGCAGTGCAAGGAGAAGGTGGAGGCCGCTAGGAGCGCCAGTATGCACAGCGCCATGCGACGAGCCATGGCGACGGGGTTCGCTTGGAGAGATCTACGATTAGACGTCTTTGATCCGTAGGAAGTTCTAGATTGAGGCCGTATTGGGGAGAAATTGAGGCGAACCTGGGATGCTAGGATTGGAGTGATGTGCACTTCGAATGTTCAGACTGAAGAAAAGTGGCTAGGCAAAACTTCCCAGCAAAAATGGCGCCCTGCTGTGATCCTGTAAATGTGCAAGACGGAAGCGATTGAGACCAACAGCAGAAGAAGCAGGTTGATTGAGAGGGAACTGTGATTGAACGGGAATGGCTGACCCCCTTTTGGTTGGTCTCGACATGAGCCCGATGAGGCTCGCGCGACGCGGGATGGTTTCGTTTACTCCAGCTTGCCCAGTTTGTCGAATCGAAGGCCGCGGTCCGCTCTAGAAAAGAAAGCACCCCCTCTGTTGAAGGTAACCAGGGTAGGGTATCGTGAGCGGGCAGCAGCTCACGATTTGAAAACTTTCGCATGTCGGGAAACCTAGGGTGAACAAACAGTCCTTCGCGCAGTCAGAGCGCCACGACACCAGGGTTTCGCGCTTTCTGGTCGAGCGGACGCCCTGGCAAATGCAGATTTACCGTGAGGTGTTGGTGGAGGGAGTGAGGCAGGCTTGGGGTTTGGTTGTTTTGGGTCGTTCCTGCCAGCGCGGTTCAGAATTGAGCGCCAGCAATTGGAAGGCGCAACACACAAATGTTTCGCACGACGCTGGGAAGTACGTCACGACGACTGAAACTTTTCAACAATTGTCGCTTGTCGGCATGCATTCGTGATCGTCACTTCATGCGCGCCCCTTGATTCAACGACTAGCTGGAACTCAACGGCAGGAGGGTGACTTTGACGGCTTGAAGGTCGTGCAATTTGCCGGTGTGCGACCAACAATTTCGTGCGGCCGTCAGACCCAGGGCCTGAAATGCAAGCCGACAAGGAACCTTTCTACTGTTACGTGCAGCGACAAGAGACTCTCGCGCGTTTCCGTGCCTGACAGGCTTCCAAACGTGGCATTCGGTTAGGGACACAATAACGCAGCCTGTGATTCTGTTCGAAAGGTGAAACTTACAAGCTGTAATATAAACCACATCAGAATCTTGCTCATTACATAAGGGTTTTAAGCAAAACATAAGACTGTCATATTTGACTCTGTTGAATAATGGAAGGCTGAATATTTATCAGTGCCATCCCTTTAAAACGGGAAATATACTTGCTGAGGAGGTTGTTGTAACAGCCCGCTACCGTATCTCATGGTTTTAAGCAAGACCCTCCATTATCATGTGACACAGCCAAGACAGTTCCAACGTTACCGTACCGCATGTCAAAACCAACGTCTCAAGGAACTACCACATCAACATTCAAATTGTGCTGCTGGTGGTGCTCCAGCATCCTCTAGCTCCACATATTCGTCCGTTAGAGTACCGAATTAGCCGCTCGGCACGACGTGATGGCACTGCCCTGAGGCAAAGGATTTCCTTAGGATTTGCTGGACAGGTGGGAGCACAGCAGCAGGATCCCTGTTACAGGTACCATCAAGTGTAGAGTTGCGCGAGTACGCACACACACACACAACTTAATTTGCCACCAGGAACACGAGAACTGCCACCGTCCACACTGCAGCGCGCAGCTGCCACCTAGACACTCATGGTCTCCAATATTATGTCCTGTCCTCCTCCCTTAACGCTCCATGACAAGATGCTCCAGACGCTCCTCACCCCCCCTACATCTTCACCATCTCAAGGCTCGAATGACCCCTTGCCTCTTCTCTTCCCCCCCCCACCCCCCCTGCCCCAGGCCCTTCACCTAACCCCTAACTGCCCTTCGCTCCCTTCAAACCTCCTCTCTTGGCGTGGGCCCCATTTCAGAGTGTGTGTCAAAAGCATCTGCGTCAAAAATATCCTCCAAGCGTTGATGCAGGCACACCGGTGGTGCGGGACTTCTCACCTTTTCCCCCAACGCCCTTCACCCGACGCCTCACCACCCTTCCTCCTCGCCCTTCAAACCTCCTCTCTTGGCGTGGGCCCCATTTCAGAGTGTGTGTCAAAAGCATCGGCATCAAAAATATCCTCCAAGTGCTGACGCCGGCACACCAGTGGCCCAGCAGGGGCGGGGAGGATGAGGAGAAACGTGAAGGGAAAGAGGGAAAAGTTGAGAGTTAGGAGAGGGAGACACAGGGAGCTTGCCAAAGAATAGTTGGGGGGAGCGATGGGTGCAAGCACATATAAAAGGTGCCAATTGTTGCACATTACATGCCAGCTTTTCAAGCTTCCAGCATTTGTCTATCATGTGTTAGTAACCCATCGGCCATGTGCCATAAGGTATGCGTGCTGAGACACGACCCATGACCCATAACTCACGAGCCGTGACCCATGACCCATGAGCCACAACTCAAGAGCCATAAATCAGCCTGGATTCCAGGGGATAATGTTGAAAAAATCGCTAGGGGCGTGTCTCCTGATTCAGGCGCCCTGAAAGGAGACGGCTCACCTCAGCAGAGGAGGAGGAGAGCACGGGGAACATGGCAGGAGAAATGCCCTTTCGCAAGTCACAAATCATGAACCCCAAACCCTGACCTCCACCCCCACCCCTTGGTTCCTCACCTCGGCGGAAGAGGAGGAGCGGACGGGGAACATGGCGATGCAGTCTGGGTTCCAGGGGATGCCGCTGTGCGCCACCACGAGCGTCCACACGTACGGCACAAAGAACTCCTCTGGATGCATCTCCTCCTCGTATGTGAACTTGAGCTCCGTGAACATCTGATGGGGCAGGCAGGCAGGATGAGGGTAGGAGAGAGAGAGAGGGGAAGAGAAGAGGGCTTCTTAAGTGGATGCATCTCCTCCTCGCATGTGAACTTGAGCTCCGTGAACATCTGATTGTTGGGGCAATCAGCATGGGAGAAGGAGAGGAGCGGAAGGAGTGGAAAGGGAGGGGAAGGGGGAAGTGGGGCGTCTTGAAATGGATGCATCTCCTCCTCGTATGTGAACCTGAGCTCCGTGAACATCTGATTGTTGGGCCAACAGTTAGAATGGGGAGGAAGAGGAGCGGAAGGGAAGGGTGGGCTTCTTGGACTTGATGCATCTCCTCCTCGTATGTGAACATGAGCTCCGTTAACATCTGATGGGGGCGTTGGGATGGGGAAGGAGAGGAGGGGAAGGGAGGGATGGGAACGGTGGCAAGAGAGGCGGGGGAAGAAGGGGGCTGATTGAAAGGGAAGCAGCTCCTCCTCGTACGTGAACTTGAGCTCCGTGAACATCTGATTTATGGGGTAATCAGAATGGGGAACGAGAGTAGATAAGAGAAGAGAGGGGTCCTTATATTGGATTGGCTATAATCCAGCCCAGACCAACGCATGATGCACCATGAACCATGACCTATGATCCATGACCCACGAACCATGACCCACGAGGCATAAGCCATGCGCGATACATCACAAGCATACCACCCTTTTCGAAGCAAGAACCCATGGCACCCACCTGCATACCCTCGCCCCGCCATGTGCGTGCATTGGCAATGACCACGTCTAACACTCGCTCCACGGACCAGTCACCGTCCACATCATGGTCATCCATGCGCACGTTGAAGAAGTCTATCACCTGCAGGGCAGAGAGGAAAATAGGTAGGGAGGTGAGTGTATGTGCAGGTACTGAGACAGCGCATGCCTGGGCAGTCGTCCATGCGCACGTTGGAGAAGTCTATCACCTGCAGGGCAGCGAAAGACGGAAGGAGAGGACACGAGATACGAAGGTTGAGTGTATGAGGAGGTTGAGCGTGTGCGCTGGCAGGTAGGCAGGCACCAAGACAGTCGTCCATACACCCGCTCCCTCCACGGACCAGTCACCGTCCACGTCATGGTCATCCATGCGCACGTTGAAGAAGTCTATCACCTGCCGGACAGCAAGGGTAAAAGTGAGGAAGTCTGAGCGCAGGCAGGTAGGCACCAAGACAGGCGTCCATACACCCACTCGCTTCCACGGACCAGTCACCATCCACATCATGGTCGTCCATGCGCACATTGAAGAAGTCTATCACCTGCCGCACCAGAGAGGGAGGGGCGGGAAGAGGGGCGATTATGGGAAAGAAAAGAGACAGCGCCGGGACAGTGCATGCCTGCATGGTCGTCCATGCGCATGTTGATTGAACAAGCCAATCACCTGCAGCACAGGGAGGGGGGAAAGAGACAGGAAGAGTGACAGTGTTGGTAGCTGTTGGGCACCAAAACTGTGCAGTGCAGCCTTACGTGTGGTTGTCCACCCATGGGTACCATTAAGAAGTCAGTCTCCCGCCTCCATACTCATACACAATGATAAATCCCATCCCAGGAAAGCTTTCAGACTTCTCATTAACTCCATGCATACACATACGGTCCCTCCCTGTCATGCCAGCATGGGCATTGCATTTTCAAGGCACCACGCATATAGAGGCAGTCACCCCAGCTCGCACCGTGAAAATGTTTTGCAGCAGCTCGCAGAAGCGAGGGTGGTTGCGGAAGGGCACAAAGAGCTCCTGGCGATGCAGCAGCGCGTACACCACCTGCCATGATGCATGTGTGAGAGAGCATGCGTTCATGGGGATGTGGCATGGATAGGACAAGGCTATGGTTAGGGAGCTTACAAGTGTGATTCAGTGAGAAAAAAAAAAAGGCGAACAGGGAAAAGAAGAAATTGCAAAAGATGAAGAGAATGAGGTGAAGAAATGGGATCGTGCGGACACAGGAAATGTAGGACAGGTAGCAATGAGTACATGCAGTGCAAGCAGGACAGGCATGGGTACAGGAAATGTAATACAGGAAGTGCAGTGCAAGCAGGGTAGGCATGCATGACATGGAAGGGAGCAGCAATCACACGCGCACCTGCAGCGCTCTCGTTTCTGTTCACCTCGGGGTTGCGTGGTAGGGCATAGGTGAGAATGGCGTTGATGATTTCGAGCACTATGCGGAGGAAATCCGTGTAAATGTGCAGCTCCGTGGGCTGCTGGTGGGGGGAGACAGGGTGGGGGAGAGAGGGGGCAGCGAGAGAAAGGGCAGCAAGAGGGAGGAGTGAGTGAGGGAGGTGATTCTTGAGTCGGCTAGAGAATGATTTCGAGCGCTATGCGGAGGAAATCCGTGTAGATGTGCAGCTCTGTGGGCTGCTGGTGGGCGGAGATGGGGGGAGAGGGAGAGAGGGGCCAGCGAGAGAGAGGGCAGCAAGAGGGAGGAAAGAGTGAGTGAGGGAGGTGATTCATGAATGATTTCGTGCACTATGCGGAGACAGTCCGTGTAGATGTGCAGCTCTGTGGGCTGCTGGTGGGGGGAGACGAGGAGGGAGAGAAAGAGAGGAGAGAGTGAGGGAGAGGGAGAGAGAGAAAAGAGGGAGAGGCAGGAAGTGGGGAAAGTGCATACACAACCCATTTTGCACACACCTCATGCTGGATACACAAAAGATGTGCACACACCCCCCACACTGCACACGTACCCCGTCACCAGCACCATCCCCATCCTGATTCGCTGATTGCTGTCCCTGTGCATTGGCCTGCGAGTCTCCCTTGCTGGGCATGGGGTGTGCTGCTGCTGTCGACAGCTTCGTGTATCTGGGCGGGGGAGGGTGGGGGAGGGTGGGGGAGGGTGGGGGAGGGGGAGGGTGGGGAGAGTGAGGTGATGGGAAGGGTGCGATGAGTCGACTTGAAGGTTCAGGGGTTAAGAAATGGAGGAAAAAGAGTGAATACCCCTGCATTAGGATAACACAGAAAGAGAGGCACGGAGGTGAAGAGAGGGGCAAGGAGAAGAAGAGAGGGGCAAGGAGAAGAAGAGAGGGGCAAGGAGAAGAAGAGAGGGGCAAGGAGAAGAAGAGAGGGGCAAGGAGAAGAAGAGAGGGGCAAGGAGAAGAAGAGAGGGGCAAGGAGAAGAAGAGAGGGGCAAGGAGAAGAAGAGAGGGGCAAGGAGAAGAAGAGAGGGGCAAGGAGAAGAAGAGAGGGGCAAGGAGAAGAAGAAAGAGGCAAGGAGAAGAAGAGAGGGGCAAGGAGAAGAAGAGTGGGGCAAGGAGAAGAAGAGAGGGGCAAGGAGAAGAAGAGAGGGGCAAGGAGAAGAAGAGAGGGGCAAGGAGAAGAAGAGAGGGGCAAGGAGAAGAAGAGAGAGGCAAGGAGAAGAAGAGGGGCAAGGAGAAGAAGAGAGGGGCAAGGAGAAGAAGAGAGGGGCAAGGAGAAGAAGAGAGGGGCAAGGAGAAGAAGAGAGGGGCAAGGAGAAGAAGAGAGGGGCAAGGAGAAGAAGAGAGAGGCAAGGAGAAGAAGAGAGAGGCAAGGAGAAGAAGAGAGGGGCAAGGAGAAGAAGAGAGGGGCAAGGAGAAGAAGAGAGGGGCAAGGAGAAGAAGAGAGAGGCAAGGAGAAGAAGAGAGGGGCAAGGAGAAGAAGAGAGGGGCAAGGAGAAGAAGAGAGGGGCAAGGAGAAGAAGAGAGGGGCAAGGAGAAGAAGAGAGGGGCAAGGAGAAGAAGAGAGGGGCAAGGAGAAGAAGAGAGGGGCAAGGAGAAGAAGAGAGGGGCAAGGAGAAGAAGAGAGGGGCAAGGAGAAGAAGAGAGGGGCAAGGAGAAGAAGAGAGAGGCAAGGAGAAGAAGAGAGGGGCAAGGAGAAGAAGAGAGGGGCAAGGAGAAGAAGAGAGGGGCAAGGAGAAGAAGAGAGGGGCAAGGAGAAGAAGAGAGAGGCAAGGAGAAGAAGAGAGGGGCAAGGAGAAGAAGAGAGGGGCAAGGAGAAGAAGAGAGGGGCAAGGAGAAGAAGAGAGGGGCAAGGAGAAGAAGAGAGGGGCAAGGAGAAGAAGAGAGAGGCAAGGAGAAGAAGAGAGAGGCAAGGAGAAGAAGAGAGGGGCAAGGAGAAGAAGAGAGGGGCAAGGAGAAGAAGAGAGGGGCAAGGAGAAGAAGAGAGGGGCAAGGAGAAGAAGAGAGGGGCAAGGAGAAGAAGAGAGGGGCAAGGAGAAGAAGAGAGGGGCAAGGAGAAGAAGAGAGGGGCAAGGAGAAGAAGAGAGGGGCAAGGAGAAGAAGAGAGAGGCAAGGAGAAGAAGAGAGGGGCAAGGAGAAGAAGAGAGAGGCAAGGAGAAGAAGAGAGGGGCAAGGAGAAGAAGAGAGGGGCAAGGAGAAGAAGAGAGGGGCAAGGAGAAGAAGAGAGGGGCAAGGAGAAGAAGAGAGGGGCAAGGAGAAGAAGAGAGAGGCAAGGAGAAGAAGAGAGAGGCAAGGAGAAGAAGAGAGGGGCAAGGAGAAGAAGAGAGGGGCAAGGAGAAGAAGAGAGGGGCAAGGAGAAGAAGAGAGAGGCAAGGAGAAGAAGAGAGGGGCAAGGAGAAGAAGAGAGGGGCAAGGAGAAGAAGAGAGGGGCAAGGAGAAGAAGAGAGGGGCAAGGAGAAGAAGAGAGGGGCAAGGAGAAGAAGAGAGAGGCAAGGAGAAGAAGAGAGGGGCAAGGAGAAGAAGAGAGGGGCAAGGAGAAGAAGAGAGGGGCAAGGAGAAGAAGAGAGGGGCAAGGAGAAGAAGAGAGGGGCAAGGAGAAGAAGAGAGGGGCAAGGAGAAGAAGAGAGGGGCAAGGAGGGCGCATACTTGCGGGCGAGCATGTGGAAGAGGCGGATGAGGGCGCCTTAAAAGGAGGTGAAGCGAGGGGCAACGAAGTGAAGAAAGAAAGAACGTTTCGAAACGGGGCAAGGAGGGGCCGTACTTGCGGGCGAGCATGTGGAAGAGGCTGATGAGGCGCTGGGAGGCATAGGCCTTGAGGTGGTGCGCGTGGGGCGCCATGTTGGCGAGAGTGGTGTGCCATTGTAACGAGGTGAATTTCGACTCGACTCAAAAGTTATGGGGCAAGGAGGGACCATACTTGCGAGCGAGCATGTGGAAGAGGCTGATGAGGCGCTGGGAGGCATAGGCGTTGAGGTGGTGCGCGTGGGGCGCCATGTTGGCGAGCGTGGCCAGGCAGTTGGTGTGCAGGTAGATGTCCTGTGTGTGTTGCATGTGTGTGTGTGTGCATGGGAGGCAGAAACAGCGTAGGGTTAAAGGGGGAAAGGATCAAGAGAGAGGCCAGGCAGTTGGTGTGCAGGTAGATGTCCTGTGTGTGTCGCATACACGCATGGGGAGGCAGAAACAGCGTAGGGTTAACGGGGGGAAGGACTAAGGGTCATATAGAGAGTAGAGTAGCTAGGCAATTGGTGTGCAGGTAGATGTCCTGTGTGTGTTGCATGTGTGTGTGTGTGCATGGGAGGCAGAAACAGCGTAGGGTTAACGGGGGGAAGGACTAAGGGTCATATAGAGAGTAGAGTAGCTAGGCAGTTGGTGTGCAGGTAGATGTCCTGTGTGTGTTGCATGTGTGTGTGTGTGCATGGGAGGCAGAAACAGCGTAGGGTTAAAGGGGGAAAGGATCAAGAGAGAGGCCAGGCAGTTGGTGTGCAGGTAGATGTCCTGTGTGTGTCGCATACACGCATGGGGAGGCAGAAACAGCGTAGGGTTAACGGGGGGAAGGACTAAGGGTCATATAGAGAGTAGAGTAGCTAGGCAGTTGGTGTGCAGGTAGATGTCCTGTGTGTGTTGCATGTGTGTGTGTGTGCATGGGAGGCAGAAACAGCGTAGGGTTAACGGGGGGAAGGACTAAGGGTCATATAGAGAGTAGAGTAGCTAGGCAGTTGGTGTGCAGGTAGATGTCCTGTGTGTGTTGCATGTGTGTGTGTGTGCATGGGAGGCAGAAACAGCATAGAGTTAAAGGGGGGAAGGACTAAGGGTCATCTAGAGAGTAGAGTAGCTAGGCAGTTGGTGTGCAGGTAGATGTCCTGTGCAGGGTGCGTGCATGGTTCAGGGGTGTGTGTGTGGGGGGGGAAGAGCGAAGGAAGAGGAGGGACGGGGGAGCATACAAAAATTTGACACATCTCTTCTCACAAAGCATACGATACGAGCATGATGGCCATAAGCGATCCAAGGGTGTCGTGTGCCATGGTAACGAGGTGACTTTTGAGTCGACTCAAAAGACACATCTCACAAAGCATACGATACGCGCATGATGGCCATAAGCGATCCAAGGGAGACGAAGATAAAGGGGTGGATGACGAGGAGGGGATAGATGAGGGGAGGGGACGGAGGAGGGGGGGGGCTGAAGGGGGATGGTGGCTATAGGGGAAGAAGTGGGGGGGGGGAGGGGGGGGGGGGGGAGAAGGGGGGGTAGCACAGCAGCACTAACCCTAAGCTTGGAGAGGTTGTATTTGACGGTGCGGATGAGGATGATGACCATAAGCGATCCCAGGGAGATGCGGGAGAGCAGGCGCTCCTGATACCATGGCACAGACGACAGGATCTGCACACGCACACACACAGCATGTTACAGTGTCGGGGAATGGGATGGGCGCCCGGGGGGATGGGAACTTTGAGGCGAGAAGCAGAGTTGCACACTTGAGAGACGGGACAAGGGAGAGAACAGAATTACAAGGGAAGGAAGCTGAGATAAAACCAGCGAGAGGGTGGGAGACGAGACAGGAGGAAGACGAGGAGGAGGCAGGCTCGCAGTGGGGAATGGGAGAGAGGGGGTGGGGCACACAGGGAAATGCAGCACCGCCGATCGGTGCAAGTAAAAGTTTCTGACATTTGAAAAGCACAGGAGAAAACGGCAACAGCACTCCCATCAGCGCTACCAGTGCCAGCGGCAGTGGCGGCAGCAGCAGTGCGGGTGCAGCAGCAACAATGTTGGTGCAGCAGCAGCAGCAGCAGCAGCAGCAGCGCGCAGGCACGTACGAGCTTATGGACGTTGGCGTTGAAGGAGGCGTCTTGCGAGAGGATGAGGAGGATGATGAGCAGCATGTACATCTGGTTGGACGTGCGCCGTGGGGCGTTGTACAGCATCTCCAGTAGCGGCATGATCTGGTCGCGTGGCAGGGGGGACATAGGACACGGGGCACAGGGGAGAAGGGGAGCAGGGGGAGCAGCGTTGTACAGCATCTCCAGCAGCGGCATGATCTGGTCGCGTGGCAGGGGGGACATAGGACACGGGGCACAGGGGAGAAGGGGAGCAGGGGGAGCAGCGTTGTACAGCATCTCCAGCAGCGGCATGATCTGGTCGCGTGGCAGGGGGGACATAGGACACGGGGCACAGGGGAGAAGGGGAGCAGGGGGAGCAGCGTTGTACAGCATCTCCAGCAGCGGCATGATCTGGTCGCGTGGCAGGGGGGACATAGGACACGGGGCACAGGGGAGAAGGGGAGCAGGGGGAGCAGCGTTGTACAGCATCTCCAGCAGCGGCATGATCTGGTCGCGTGGCAGGGGGGACATAGGACACGGGGCACAGGGGAGAAGGGGAGCAGGGGGAGCAGAGGGAAGGGGAGGGGAAGAGAAGGGAAGGTGGGCGAAAAGGCAGCGGGGGTGAGTGGGAGGAAGCAGGGGCAGTGTGGAGAAGGGGGGTTGAACGGGACTGGGGTGATGGGATGAGGAGGATGATGAGCAGCATGTACATCTGGTTGGACGTGCGCCGCGGGGCGTTGTACAGCATCTCCAGTAGCGGCATGATCTGGTTGCGTGGCAGGGGGAAGGAGGGGGGAAGGACGGGGGAACAGGGCAGGGGGAGCAGCGTTGTACAGCATCTCCACTAGCATGATCTGCTTGTGTGGCATAATCTGGTCGTGCAGGAACATCGGAGACAGGACACGGGGGAGCAGATGGGAGCGGATGGGGAGAGGAATGAAGGAGTGGGGGGAGTAGGGGAGTGGGGGGCTGTGAGGGAGAGTGGGAGGAAGCAGAAGGGGTTGGGGAGGAGTGAGGTTGTGCAGAGACTGAAGTGATGGGATAAGGCTATGTCTAATACCGAAGTGGGGGAGGGGAAAGGGGAGAGGGGACAAGACATGACTAATACAGCTTCACTCACATTTGGGCCACATCACATCCTACCTTCACATGTTAGTTCAGCACGTTACCTCCCCTCATCAAACCACCTCCTCCCACCACACTACCTTCCCGGCGCTCACCGGACTACCTGTGCTCACCAGGGTGTCAAAATCTGAGCAAACAAGGCAATGGTGTGTTTTTGAGGATCCTAAAAAACTCACTGCAAGGTGACTTTTGAGTCGACTCAAAAGTCACCTCAAGGCAATGGTGTGTTTTTTAGGATCCTCAAAAACTCACTGCAAAGTTGCCTGCGCTCACCACAAGACTACCGGGGCTCACCAGCGTGTCAAGATCTGAGCGAACAAGGCAATAGTCCAGGAAGGCAGAGTTGCCGTGGATGAGCGAGTAGAGCAGCAGAGTGGCACGGTCGTCAGTCAAACACCTGCAGCACGCACACACCCGGAACAAAACCCATTTCCCAGTCAGTCAGCGTGCCTTTCTGAACTTTTAATGGGCGGAGTCACAGGAAAGCTGCCAATTTTCGCAGTGACAAGAGCAGGAAGCAGCAAGAGGGCTAACTAGGTTAGGGTAGCCACGGAGAGAAAGGGAGAACTAGCAGGTGGGGCGGCGGGTTAAGGAAGCCTCACAATCCCAGGGCATCATGCAGCGAGGCGAAGGCAATCCGAACCACATCCTCACTTCCTGCCCCAGACCCCGGACCCACCAACCCTTGCACCTCCCCTCCCCCCTGCTGCTGCTGCTGTCCTGCCTGCCCTTCTTGCTCTCCCTGCCCCTGCGCTTCACCCTGCGCCAGCAACGGCTGCTGCTGCTGCTGCTCCTGTGCAAGCTCTGCATCATCTGTGCCATGGGAGTCCGCACGGGCACTACTTGCCGCCATTACTCCGCTCCTGCTTGTGCCTGTGAACGGCCCTGTGCCACTGCCGCTGCCATTACCCACACCTGCACCTGCACCTGTGGCTGTCGCTGTCGCTGTGGCTCTGGGAGAGGGAGCAGAGGCACTGGCGGGAGTGAGTGTGCCGTAAACTGCTGCTGACGTCTCGGTCTCTGCTGCACTCAAAATAGGCTCCACTGTTAAAAGGATGATGATGGAGCAAGCAAGCACGGGGGTGGGGTGGGGAGCACAGGTGAAGGCGACAGGAGACAGAGTGAGCAGGAGTGAGCGTGCCATAAACTGCTGCTGAAGTCTCGGTCTCTGCTGCGCTTAATATGGGCTCCACTGCAGTAATTGATGATGATGGAGCATGCAAACGAGCAAACACGGGAAGAGAGTGGGGAGCACGAGTGGGGATGGCAGGAGGCAGGCGATGTGACGAAAGACGGGGAGCAATTGATGGGGAATAGTAGCGGAACCATCTAAAATAGACTTGACGGCAGTCGTTCACTTGAGTGATTGCTTGCACTCTCGTGCCATGGTTAGATCACCCGGGTTCGGGTCAAAATTTAAAAAGAAGGATTGCATATGCCAACTAAAAAACAAACTATCGAGCTTGCTTTAAGAAATATCGGTCCAAAGTGCTTATCCTAGGGGCAGGAATCAAGTGGTACGTCACCAACCAACCTCACCTCAACAACCCTAACCGCATGCTTACTGACTAGCACACATACACGGGTGGGCAAGGCAACACTGACTGACACCGTGACACGCAGTTGCACTTGCAAACAGCTTTACGCCAAAATGATCTGCAATCCACGAACGAGAAACATCCACTTACAGTCCACGTCTCGCGCGCTGTTGATCGCCCACTTGTAAGGATTCCACCGCGCTTTCCTCACTTGCTGCTGCTGCTGCTGCTCTTGTTGCTGGCCCTGCTGCTGATCCTGCTGCTGATCCTGCTGCTGCTGCTGCTGCTGCTGCTGCTGCTGCGTCATCCCTTGCCCGTCCTTCCCCTCCATCCGTGCCTCTTGCAAATTCAGCCCATCCTGCAACCGTTGCTCCAAAGCCTTAGCATCTCCCGCCAACCCTTGCACCTGCACCTGCACAGCATCTGCCCCCACACCCCCTCCATTCCCCACCTGGCCCTCCCCACCGCCTTCCCCTTGCCCCTGCCCTTGCTCCTGCCTCAAACCCCCCTCCTTCCCCCCCGCCCGCCCCTGCTTCTCCGCCTCCTCCCTCTGCATCTCCTCCCACGCCTCCCTACTCCCAACCGACGGCCCGTAGTGAGTCAGAGCCAGCAGCAGCAGCAGTGCATTATCCGCTAGTGGGCTCTTGGCCACAGCAGAGGCGGAGGAGGACGAGGAGGAGGAGCTGACGAGGAAGGAGTAGGTGTAGTAGGGAAGGAGGAAGACGGCGACTGCAGCAGAGCCCACGCGGCGCAGGACGCCTTGGCGCGTGGAGAGGGATGCCACGTAGAAGGGCACGCGGGGAGGCACGGGCATGCGCGCCACAAACATGTGCAGCAGCCGCGAGACAAATGGCACTGCCAGGTCGTGCTGGTGGGGGTCGGTACGGGGGAGATTTAAGTTTTTCTAGTCGATTCTCAAACAGGAGTGTGGGGTGGGGGGGACGGGCATGCGCGCCACAAACATGTGCAGCAGCCGCGAAACGAATGGCACTGCCAGGTCGTGCTGGTGGGGTTGGGGGAGATTAAGAGAGGGAAAGGTGTAGATCTGTGTTGATGGCAAAAGCATTCGAGGCATGAAGCTCTGTGCCACGTCAGAACCAAAGACACATCACATTGCCTCCATCCCCACCCACCCACCACCAAACACAATTCCCATCACATTCCCGCCACACTCCTCCCCTTCCCTCCACGTGCCTGGTTCATGGCAGCCTCGACAAAGAGGTGAGCGTCCGTGTTGAATGCCACAGCAGCAGGCGAGGCATGCAGCTTTACTCCACGTAACCAAAGAAACAGCAAAATTGCCTCAAACGACAAACCTCCCCTATCCCCCTCCACCCCACACACCCCTTTCCCCCACGTGCCTGGTTCATGGCAGCCTCGACAAAGAGGTGGGCGTCCGTGTTGAAGGCGACAGCAGGAGAGGCGTGCAGCTCTATGCCGCTTCACAACCAAAGAAACATCACATCGCCTCAAACACAACCCCCAATCCCCCCCTCACACCCCTTTCCCCCACGTGCCTGGTTCATGGCAGCCTCGACAAAGAGGTGAGCGTCCGTGTTGAATGCGACAGCAGGAGAGGCGTGCAGCTGTGTGGACATCATCACAATGAGCAGATTCACCGCCTCCAGATGCAGCAGGTACTTGGTGGCGCTGGTGGGGGTGGAGGAGGGGGAAGGGGCGTGTGGGGAGCAAAGGACGAACGGGGGAAATTGTTGGGGCGCCTCAGAAGCAGATTCACCGCCTCCAGATGCAGCAGGTACTTGGTGGCGCTGGAGGGGGAAAGGAGGCAGGGGGGAGGGGGGAAGGGAATAGGGGTGGGGGGAGGGGGGATGGACGAATGGGGGAGATTGTTGAGGCGCCTCAAAACTAGACTCACTGCCTCTTCTAATGCAGCAGGTACTTGGTGGCGCTGGTGGGGGTGCGGGGGTTGAGGGGGGGAAGAGGTTGAGGGGGGGAAGGGGTTGAGGGCGGGATGACAGTGTTAGGTCGACGATTGTGCTTAAAAACTGGAAACGTTGGCGGTTAGTGGTGGGTGGCTCACCTGACGTCATGATGTGCAACGAAGGATAGGAGGGACCTCACGGTATCCACTAGCAGATCATGCCGCCCTGTTAGCGCACACACAAACATGCATGCACACACATGTACACACATACACATACACACACAGACACACCCATCCACTCTCACACACACATATACAGACACAAAGACAGACAGAGCCACACCCACACCACCTCCCCTTCTTCCCCCCCTCCCAGTCTCCCCTCACACACACACATGCACACATAACCTCTAGCACCACACAGCCCCCCCATTCCCCCTCAGGCAAACCATAGCACAAGCACAAAAGCAAGGAAGCAGAATAAGAGCCTGACTAAACCATCCCATGCGTTTGTTTCCTTCAATCAACCCTAACGACGGTCAATCTGCTCCCCTCCGCGCACATTCTCTCCCTAAATCCCTACCTCGCCTCGCCCTCCTCTCTCCATCAATCATCTCTTCCTGCTTTTCACTCTCCATCTACCTCCCTCCCCCCTCTCTCCTCTTAAGATCTCCATGCCCATTATCTTTTCCTCGCTTCCCTCTCTTCCCTCTCTTTCCTCATTCCCTCACTCCCCTCACTTCCCCAACACCATCCTTCCCAGCATGAATTCTACCAGAACTCGCCAACCACCACCCCGCTCCCCTCCAAACCTACTGTTCCCTTTCCCTCCCCTCCCCTCTTCCCCTCCCGCCCCTTTACTTCCCCTCCCCCCTTTCCCCTTCCACTTCCGCCGTCCCGGATCCCCCGTCCCCCGCCCCCCTCCCCCTTCCCCCCCTCCCCGCACCTGCGTCTCGCCCAAAAGCGCGCGCCTCCTCGGGCGAGAGGTGGATGACGAGGTGCTCCCAGATCTCGCGGCTGTCGTAATACTCCACCAGGTGCTTCACAAAGAGCCGCGTGAAATAAACCGTGTTGATGGCCGTCAGAGGCATCTCCGCGGGGCTTGCGGGCACCTGCTGCAGGCTGCGCATCATGTGCAGCAGCAGCTTGCCGAAATGGTACGTCTGCCGGTTGTTCAGCGCTGGGAGGAGCACGGCGGGTGGGGGCGCGGGAGGGAAGAATGAGGGGGAAATGGGGACGGGAACGGGGGGAGACGGAGGATGGGAGATGTGAGGAAAATCCGCCAGAGAGGTATCCCTCGCCTTCTCGAGCAGACTGCGAGTTACGTGCAGCAGCAGGCGCTTCGAAGTGGCACGTCTGACGATGCTACCGCGCAAATGCGGAGCGGGGGTGGGGGGTGGGGAAGAAGGGGGAGGTCGGGGGTGGGCGAAAGACGAAAGCAAGGGGAATGGGAAGTTGGGGAAGGGTATCAGCGGAGCGGTCGGCACGACACCACAAAAACAGACAAATCGCAGTGAACGTGAAATTTATTCAGAGAGAAACGAGTACATGTTAGCTGGTAGCATAAACATAAGTGCGCACCGACTGACTGGTGTCAGGGTCTACTGCCACAAACACCGCGCTGATACTGAAGCTGACATTGCCACTGATACTGAAGCTCACCTAGCGTGGTGCACGCTTCTCTCGTCGCCTCGTCGAAGTCCGCGGGTTTCATCTTGGGCAGCGGGTACGCGAACGACAGAAGCTTCTCCCAGAACGGGTCGTTCGCGGGGATGGATGTGGGGCCCACAAAACGATCTAGAAGATCTTCGTGCCCGCCCAACACCGGCACAGACTCCGCCGCCCCCATTGTGTCAATAACGAGGATGGGTGAATGCTCAGGCTGGTTGAAACTTTGGCGGTTCAGAGCAGAAAATTCGGACCCTAGCTACAGCTCGTCCGTCAACTACAGTTACAGTTACAGTTACCGTTGTTTCTTGTGACGCTGGCTCAACTGCGTGTGCCGAGCGCTGAAAGGGTTAGTGGACCGTGGCGTCTTGAATGAGCCGGCTTTAGGAGGGCTAGAACTAGCTGCTAGAACAGGAAAAAACCACAGATTTAACGTCATCCAAAACGTATGCGTGGAAAGCGAGAGTTGATCAACGATGCGTGTGCCTCAGATCCGCAATCTGACGACGCACCTCTGCCTTTCCTCGACCCGCTGTGCGTGGATGGCACCGTCAGGCGTCGCATCGGCGAATTATGTCGTACACTTAGGCAATCGCGAAGCAATCATCAACATGCTGGTAACCAGATCGAATCCTAAGAGGACCGGCGAAGGCAATATATCGGCTCAGTTCACGAAATCTGAAACGAAAAGAACGCCATCGAGTGAAGGACAACCCTACGCTCCACAGCAGTGTGTGGAGATCTAACAAAAGAGGAATTGCAAGTGACCCGACGCGTCACGTGAACGTTCTGCTCATACTAGGGACGCCTCGACGGAATAGCCCGGCAACTCATAAGCACGTCCGTTCTCTCTACTTCGGCCCTAAGAACAAGGACGAAGGACTGTGATAACCTGACGGCAGATTCCATGGCTGCATCAGGGTGGCATGAGCATGGACTGATGCTACTCTTCTTGGGAACTCCTCACTAAATCAGATGCATTGACAAATCTCCCCCATCTCTACAACAGCATGATCTTCTTTTCCGTCCGCACGTACTGGTCTCCGTCTTGTTTCCCGTCAAAACCTCGTCAGTCGGTTCGTCCCGCTTGGCTATTGAAATTTGGACCTGTCCTTCCTTTCAATTGCGGATCAGGGCGTAGCCGATCAGTCGGTGTCGTAAACTGCTGCACCTTCAAGTCCTCGTACATTTCCACGTCGTGTCAAATACCGTAAGTGATATTCAAATACCATAGGTAAAAGTTGCTGTATAGTAATTGTGTGTGATTGAAGGGGCAACATGCAAACACTCTAGGAGCCAGAAGCTCACCCACCAGAATGCAGTTGGACACGGACAAAGACATGATGACTACTCAGCACTTTCAGCCTCCTGTGTGCAACTATAAGCAAGAGCCTGAAATGGAGCCCTAGGGCTAGAAAGTATCATGACTCCACGAAGGTGTTTATTAGGGTCAAAACAATCAAACTACTGTACTTGGCTTCAATGTCTCAACTATTCTCCACTGAAAGATCGAATGTGTACATGATCACTACGCTGATTTTGCGCTGGGGGCAGCTGGCAACAACTGTGAAGTAGGGAAGGGTAACAACAGCATAAGCAAGCACGGGAGAGTGCGGGAAAAGATGGAACAAGAGGTAAGGAGGATATGGGCGGGAGCGAGTGGGAGGGAATGGGAACGAAGGTTAGGAGGTTACGGGAGGAAAAAAGGGTGAAATAAAAAACTGCAAGCTTAAAGGTAAAACAGACGGAACCACCACTACATACCTGGTAACAAGAGATAAGCGAAGTAAAAAAGCCCAGTGCTCCAGTGACTCTAGGTGTGACTGTCTTCGGTGCAAGCTGAAGCAGGCCAATAGCAACAATAATGTCGGTAGATGACTTCACAAAGTTCAGTTGCCGCTGGCGTGCCTTCGCTAAAGCAGCTAGCAATTGGTCCTTCTGCAAACACCAATGATTGAGTGTTAGTCGGGCTCCTCAACATACGACAAGCGAGAGTCAGCACAGCATAAACGTGACATACCAGCTTGGCTTGCTCGGTTGCGTTCTTCTTCTCCTTAGCACGGCGAATTTCCTTGCCAAGTTTGGCACAAGTGATGGAAAGCCGACAGAGCTCACAGACCTGAAGCGCGAAACTGATAGAAATTAGGCGATAACGGAATGCAAAGAGAGCCGTGCACATTCCGCGATATTGCTCACCTCAATGATGGAGCCAACACCGCAGCTAGACATCCAGCAGTGAAGAGAAAGCTTGGCTATCAGATCACTTCGTTCCTTGTTCTGCGAAGCAAAAAACGTTGCTTAAATTGCATTTTCCAGAGGGCTGTAGAGCCGACTAACATGCGTAAAACTATTCACGCACCTGATAAATGCCAGACCGACCAAGCCACACCACTTGATCCAAGCCAAGGAAAGTAGCCAGCAAAGCACTCTTAATCTGCAGGACGATAAAGTATCATCATTGTAGTTACAGAATTCCCCAAAGCACCAACCAAAAGTGTAACCTCATGTAACCTACCCTTCCGAGCAGCACCAAGAATAGAGGCGTTGTCTTGGGAGCAGGACTAAGAAGATTCTGGATCTCATTGACGGACTGCAAGGCATAAACAATGGAATGCGATTTAGATGCCGCTTACAGGTAAAAAACGCAATACGCAACAGCAGCGTCAGAGTCACCAACCTTCAGAAGCCTGAAAACTTTTCTCGCTAAACTGGTGTTTTTGTCCACAGTGGCTGCAACGCCAGGTTCACCGCCGCTGATAAACTTGGAACCATACTGGATAGCCCTACAAATCTTGTCACGCGTTTCCGCTTTGTTCAAGTACAGTGCGAGCAACGCCACGTGAACTCTTGCATCTTCAATGGATGAAACCATGGTCAGAACCTTCTACTCCGAACCAAAATTCTTTACAGGAAAGCTTGATAAAAAGGGGCTGGCTCAGATAGTCGAGGGAGCTAATAGAGACCTACTGCCTTGAAGCAAAGGCGAGCCAGCAAAACGCCCGCAAGTTTGATTTTGGTAAGATACTCGATTCTGAGATAACGGAGCGGGGAAAAGGAGGAAGGTGGGTAAAGGAGGGGGTGAGGGGCGCGGAGGGGAGCTGAATGGAGACTAGAGAGGACGGGATGACTGGGCGAGTAACAAATGCCCTATGTGGGACAGGGAGTCTGGGCCCGATGACGTGGGGAGGTGGTCCCTGAATTTCGAACACATGACACGTGGAACAGCAAAGCACTTACGACATGAAACGAAACTGCTGGGCCAAACCCACAAGTTCTGTGCACTTACGACATGAAACGAATAAGCCTCACAAACTGTAGAGTCCTAGGTAGAGTGAGCTGTTTGCCTATACCAGAAAATGCAATGCTTGACATTCAGTTTTGATATCTAAATCTAGTAGCCATTGTACAGCTCTTTGGCCAGTGCAAGATGTTATACTTGGCATCAAGGAGAGAGAAAGAAGGGAGAGGGAGAGAGAGACAAATGGAGGTGGGTGTGTGTGGGGGAGGGGGAGGGGGTGTTGAATTATATTGCATATCTTATAACTGCCTACAGCTAGCTAGTGTACTAGTTTAGGTATTAGCATCAACTGCTGGTGGTGTACCCTCCCTTTTGCCCATTCCTATATCTTGTATTCATTCCATAGTGAAACTCCTCTTTTGGCCAACCTAAACTCCCTCGATAACCATCTCACTATGCTACTCTCCCTCCAAGCTCCTAATCTCCCAAGTTCTTATCTCAACATGGTATTAAGAGCTGGGTCCTTCTAACGACCTTGTTATTTTTCATTCGCCATGGCTGCCATCGTTGCCATGGCGACCGTTGCTGCGCCCTTCGAGGCGCTCGCCTGTTGCCTGCCCCGCGCTGAACGCCCCGTGCTACCCGCCCCACGCGCTGGTCGCCCCGTCCCGCGCGCTGTCGCGTCGCCCCGTCGCTGGTCGCGGACGCCAGCACCAGCGCCTCTGACCGTCGCTGACGCCAGCGCGAGCGCCAGCGACGTGCGCCAGCGCCAGCGACTGTCGCCAGCGCCAGCGCCGGTCCCCAGCGCCAGCGCCAGCGTCAGCGCCAGCGCCAGCGGCATGCGCCAGCGCCGGTCGCGAGCGCGAGCGCCAGCAGCGGCCGCCAGCGCCCCTGCCATCGCCACCCCGCTCCCCGTCTCCGCACCTGCCGTCGCTCTCTTCTACGGTGGACGTTGCGGGGGGGAGGTGGCGAGGCTCGCGCCCGCGGCTACGGGGGTGCTTAAGCCCCCTTGAACCCTCCTGCCCCTCCCTAATCCTCCTCCTCATCGCTGCCCGTGCATCTGCAGTTCGTGCCGCGTTTGGGGGGGGGGGGGAAGAGGGTGTGGGGGTGGCGGGTATGTGCAGGCAGCCGCCTCCCCCTTCTCCTCCTCCTTCCGCTGCACTTCCTCTCCTCCTCCTCCTCTCCTCTCCTCCAGCCGCATCTCCTCCTCCTCTCCTCTCCTCCACCCGCATCTCCTCCTCCTCTTCTCTCCTCCAGCCGCATCTCCTCCTCCTATCTCCTCTCCTCCAGCCGCATCTCCTCCTCCTCTCCTCTCCTCCAGCCGCATCTCCTCCTCCTCTCTTCTCCTCCAGCCGCATCTCCTCCTCCTATCTCCTCTCCTCCAGCCGCCTCTCCTTTGCTCTCCTCCTGTGCACCACCAGCAGCTTCCTCCTCCTCACCAACAGTTGTGTTTGCTCGTAGATGGCGAGCGACCAGCATCCTTCGCCCTCCGGCTATCCCAGCCCTCCTCCGCGCTCTCCGCGCCCTCCTCCGTCCTGGCGTTCACAGGTGCTGCCGGTCAGCCACCGCTGTTTCTGTGCCTATCCCAGCTACAGCAACTGCTCTCCAGGCGACCTGGTGCCAGGCACCACTAGCTATAGCCGTAGGCAGTTACGGGGGTGTGTTGAATTATATTGCATATCTTATAACTGCCTACAGCTAGCTAGTGTACTAGTTTAGGTATTAGCATCAACTGCTGGTGGTGTACCCTCCCTTTTGCCCATTCCTATATCTTGTATTCATTCCATAGTGAAACTCCTCTTTTGGCCAACCTAAACTCCCTCGATAACCATCTCACTATGCTACTCTCCCTCCAAGCTCCTAATCTCCCAAGTTCTTATCTCAACAGGGGGGTAGGGGGGGAGAAAAAGAGAGAGATAGAGAGAGAAAGAGAGAGAGAGCGAGAGAGAGAGAGAGAGAGATAGATAGATAGATAGAGAGAGAGAGAGAGAGAGAGAGAGAGAGAGAGAGAGAGAGAGAGAGAGAGAGAGAGAGAGAAACAAAAAACAAATGCATGAATAATTTTATCTCGATTCATTACTATAAAAAATGACACAACATTACAATAGTCTAATGCATTACATATCCTACCAGAAATTTATTGCACCGTAATCCTAAGTACATGACTACAGGTATTCAGTAGTACAACTTTATCTTGTCATTTCATTCAATCATAGAATTCAGTCGATGATACAGAGGGTCACCAGTTGGCTGCCACGGCGGATGCATCACCACGTCAGCCCCTGAACACCAATCATGTCTCGAGGAGTTTCGATTGTTCCCTTGAAATTCCCCCCTTACCTCCATTCTCGAGTGTTTCTCCCCACCTTCGGCCACGTCGTCCACATAACCTTCCCCGCTGACACCCCCACTACCCTCCCCCTCCACCCCGCCCCTGTCACCTCCCCTCCCTCTCCCCATGCCAGTGTTTGTCTCATCATCAGTCTTCCGATTCTCTTTCCATTTACCATTCTCAAGAAATTGGTTGTCTTCACCACCACCATCCGCACTACCACTATGGCTTCCCTTCTCGCCACGCCTGTGCGCGGCCTTGCCGCTGGATTTGCTTCAAATGCGGAGTCTTCGGACGCGTCGACGTACGCGGTGCGATCCTCATCGTCGTCATCCGCGCGCCTCGCCTCTTTCCGCGGTACAGGATTCGATCCCCTCCGCCACGTCCGCGCGTCGACATATCGCCGCCGTGCATCCGCCGCGATTCGGCAGGTCTCGGCATCTGCCGACAAATCTGCATCAGAAGCATCGTCAGCGACTGAAGAAAAGTCTTCCGTTACTAGCCCTTTCGCGGGAAAGAAGATTTCGACCCTGCTAGCAGCCCGCGCCGCAGCCGCTTCTAAGGCGGCAACTAGCAGCTCATCGGGATCTCCCTCCACTGCCGAAGCACCAGTATCGCCACCCGCAGCCGCCGAAAGCGCATTTCCCGCTCCCCCCACACCGGCTTTCCCCTCGTCGTTCGCCAAAAGCCTCCCCGCTTCTACCCCTACCTCCCCGTTCGCATCCCCCGCTGCATCCGCTTCCCCTTCACCTCCCCGCGCCAGCCCGGCCCCCACTCCCGCACCCGCGGATCGCTCGTCCGTGAATGCCGTTGTTGGAGGTACAATCACGCCGAAAGTTTCCTTCCGCGGAAAGGCGATCGTTGATGCTTTCAAGCAAGGCAGCGGCGGCAGCGCGAAAGGCGGCGCCAGCAAAGGCGTGGCCGGCGTGACCGCGTCGTCATCAGCTTCAGATCCCGCGGACGGCAGAGTGCGCATGGGGTCCCCGCGCGCGCCGGCGAACATTTTTAACGAGGTGGCGCGGACGCCGGAGGAGATCGAGGCGGAGAAATGGCGGTTTCAGGTGAGCCGCGATCAGTTGCTGCTGGCACTCTCCTTCTTCGCCTCGTCGATCATCATGCTCGGAACGGTTTTCGTCGTGTGGAAACTGGGCGCCATTCACTTCAACGAATACTGAGAAAGGGAAACGAATCGAGGCGGCTTATATAGAATGTAGAGAAGGAAACATGAAGAGCGGAACATTAGGAGGGGGGGTTGGGGGAATTGTGGGCTGGAAAAGAATGTAAGTCCATGGCCTTCGGAAGGACGGACGGGGATGGAGGAAGGAGCTTAAGCAGGCGTCTGTGATTGCCTCCTGGACGAAAAGCAGCAGCAGCAGGAGCAGGAACAGCAGCAGCAGAAGCAGCTGGGGTACAGGAGCAGCGCAGCAGCATAGTAGCTTTACCTCCACCAAACACAAACCAGCGCTACACTATTTTCTCAGCAGTGACTTGAGTGTTTTAACTGCTGGGATGATAGACGGGGTGTGCTCAGAAGATGAGTGTCCGTTGGGCGGCAGTTGAAGCAGCTGTGCTCTGTGTTAGGTGGTCGAGGGTGTGTGCTGTGAGGTGCAGATGGGTGATACGGTGGTGTGGTGCGAAGGGACATGATGGAAGAATAGAGTGGATGTTAGGGAGGCGGGAGGAGTTCCATGGGAGGAGGCAAGGGAAGTTGAGAGGGACGAGATTGAAGACATGGAAGAGGAAGAGGAAGAGAGGAAGCGGAGTATGGGACACTGGAAATGAAGTCGGTCGTGTGAGGCAGGTGGTGGGGAGGGGGGAGAAGTGGCTGGGGAAGGGGGGAAGGTGTGTGAGGGATGCGTGTTCAGCCTAGATGTTTGGTGCCTGTTTATGTCTAACTATGCTATAGGTACCTTCAATTTTGTTTTTCTTTCCATGTTGCCTTTTACTTTCTGTGTGACCTCATGGTTCACATGCTGTACCCTCCTTCTATACCAGCACAATATACTGGTAGGTAATGCTGAAAGGCCAATGTTGTTTAAGTTGTTACAACTAGGTTACCCTCCTACCGTTTGCCTTATAGAACATGTTGCACAAGGGCGAGCGTGAAAGCCACTATCAATCCACCCAAACCTGGTACTAGTAGTACCGTAACTCTTTCAGGTAGACTGATAAGGTAGTAATACAATCTCTGCTACGTATACCAGCTGCTCGGTCTAAAAAATCAGCAGCACTCGGCAGCAGGCAACGACTGGCTTGGCTGACAATCAGCAGTGACTGGAGGGTGGGTGAGGTGAGGGTGTGCAGGAGGGCTGCACGCAGGTGGACTGGACACACACATGCACATGCTGTTACTGTCACACTGAGCTGACCTGCCTCGGGATGAGGCTGGTGGTGACTACGAGCTCGGCTCGGCAGCAGGGTTGCTTGCAAAGCTTTCAGTAAAGAAGCTTGATATCGATGCTGGTTGCAGTGATGCCGACAAGTGCTCCCACATGGGCACAGGTGAAAACGAGCTGCTCTTTGCACTGTCAAAACAACACGTCAAAATGGCTGATATCCAGTGCAGTTAGCCCAACCAGTCGCAGGACTGGAGGAGGGAGAACGCTTATCTATATTTGTGGATGTACGGTCTGAAACCCTCAAACCGCATGGGTGTATTGAGTTAAGAAGGCTATTGCAGTTGCTGTGAGAGGGTAAGTGTGAGAGGAGGAGGGTCTGCCCAAGAGAAAGGGGAAGTTTTGCGACTCAAAGAGGGTAAGTGGTGTTACCGGTACACAGTGCATGCACGGGTCAGGAGAGAGACAGAAGAAAAGTTGTACCAGGAAGGGGGGGAAGAGCAGGCGTCTCAGGAGAGTCAGAAAAGCACGCGTCTCAGGAGAGGGAGAAGAGCGCGCATCGGCGGTCCTCGGCAAGAGCAACAGCAGCCGTGGGGTCCCCGGCGTTGAGGTTGAGTTGCATGGAGGCGGAGGAGAGCTGCATGGAGGAGAAGGTGACTCGCAGCGTTGCCCCCGCATACACTGCTGACCCCAAGGGCGGCTGGAACGTCCGTGCTGCCAGCCGCTGCTTGGGGGGAGGGTGAGGGGGAGAGGGTGAGAGCAGGGAGGAGGGGGGCGGGGGAAGGGAGAGGGGCGATGGGGAAGGGACAGAGGCCAAGAGGAGGGACGACGGGGGCGGGAGGAGGGGGAAATGGCAGGGGGGAGAGAGAGAGGAGGTTGAGTTGCATGGAGGCGGAGGAGAGCTGCATGGACGAGAAGGTGACTCGCAGCGTTGCCCCCGCATACACTGCTGACCCCAAGGGCGGCTGGAACGTCCGTGCTGCCAGCCGCTGCTTGGGGGGAGGGTGAGAGGGGGAAAGGGGGAGAGGGGACGGGAATGGGGGTAGGGGGGAAGGGGAAAGGGCGAGGGGAAACGAGGAAGGGGCAAGGGGAAGGGGAGAGGGGAGAGAGTGCGTGCATGGATTGATCAGACGATAGGGTTGCACAACCTGACAAGTTCAAACGTAGTTTGTGCCCATGGAAGCAAGTGCCATGTGCAAGAGTGCATGGGTGCGTGCATGTGGGGGTGCATGTATGCGTGTGTGCGTGTGTGCGCGTGGGTACATGTGTGAGTGAATGCAAACGCACCGGACCGACAAAGTAGAACTGATTGCTCGCATCCACTTGTGCTCCACTGCCCCCACACACCACCTCCACTCTATTCACATTCGCCGATCCCACATTAAAGCTCTCCCCTCCCCCTTCCCCTCCCCCTGCCATGTCCGCCGCAGCAGGTGCCCCCGCCTCCCCCCCACTCCCATCCCCTCCGCTCCCCCCTCCCGCTCCCCCACCCCAAAACCCGAGCCTACAGAGGAGATTAGGCGAGAGAGGAGAGTCTGGGAGAGCGGAAGCGAGAGGGAAAGAGGGGATCGACCCGTCATTCCCTTCAAAGAAACAGTCACAGTCAGAGGCAGAGACAGTTGTGCAGGGTTCCGGGGGAGAGGATGGGGGTGAATCCAGGTATGGTGGATTGAGGGACGAGGCTGGTGCATCGGGTGGGGGAGGCGCGATAGGTGGGGGACGCATAGAGCCGTGGGTGGGGCGGAGCGTGGGGTCGAGGGGAGGGCTGGGGGCAGCGATTAGGAATGGGGGGAGGGAGAGACCAGGGGGAGGGGGGAAGAGGTCAGGGGGAGGAAGGGATGGAGATGGAGATGGGGGGGGAGGGGATGGGGGAGGAGGGGAAGGGGGAGGAGGGGAAGGTGGAGGAGGGGAAGGTGGAGGAGGGGAAGGGGGAGGAGGGGAGGGAGGAGGAGGGGAGGGAGGAGGAGGGGAGGGGGGAGGAGGGGAGGGGGCGGGCGGGGGGAAGGCAGGCGGGGGAGATTCGGGGGGCGGGTAGGGCGGAGGAGGGGGAGGAGAAAGAGGAGGAGGTGGAGGGGAGGAATCGGGCGGAGGGGGAGAAGCAAGAGGGGGAGGCGGTGAGGCAACGGGGGGAGGGGGAGAGGCATCGGGGGGAGGGGAAGAGTCAACGGGGGGAGGGAGAGAGGCATCGGGGGGAGGGGAAGAGTCAACGGGGGGAGGCGGGGGGGCAACAGGGCGCATGGATCCATGGGTTGGGGGAAGGTAGGGCATGACAGGGGGGCTGGGGGCAGCAATGAGGAGAGGAGGGGGGGAGAGCGAGGGGGAGGGGAGGTGGATCACGGGAGGAGGAGGAGCAGGGGCGGCAGTAGGAGGTGGTGTGGCAATCAAAGGCTCATTGGTTGTGCCTGTTAGGGGAGAGGGAGAGGGAGAGAGAGAGGGGCGAGTGGGGTAGGTTGGTTAAGAGAGGAAGAGGGAAAAAGAGGAAGAGAATCAGGGGCGGGGGAGCTGAGGAGTAGGTTTCACAAGGGGAGTGGAAGGGGAAAGCAGTGGTGTCGAGCAGAGGGAGTTGCTTGATAGAATAGACTGGCAGGGCAGGAATACAAGGCTTGGCAAATGGAGATGCTGATGATTTTATTCTCCACAATGGACTCAAATGTCTCTACTCTCATAAGGCCTAGTGCGGGAGACAGGAATTGATGTAGGTAAGCGCACTGTATTTTTTTTTAGGATTCTCGGGAATTGTGGCAAAAAACATACACGGGAGACAGGAATTGATGTAGGTAAGCGCACTGGTTGTATGAAGGAGGAGGAGGAGGAGAAAGAGAGGGGACGGCACGAAGCCCTTGGTTGCACCGATCAACCAACCCTCACCTGAGGGACATGCCTCCATGCATGTGCATGCGGTGATTATATGCCATGCCACACCATGCCACGCCATGACAGGTTCGGCTCGTGCTCGTGCTCGTGCTCCGCAAGAGCTGCAAACTCACAGTTGACATCGGTCCATGCCATGACACCCTTCTGGCGCTCGATCCAGATATACTTGTTGCGCAGCCATGACTCTGGTGGGAGAAAGGCAGGCGGGCAGGCAGGCGGGGGGGGGGTCGGGAAAACAGGAGGGAGACACGAAAGGGTGTGAGAGCGATGGCCTTTTGCTGGTCGATCCAGATGTACTTGTTGCGCAGCCATGACTCTGGTAGGAGCAGGAAGGAGGGCAGGTTGGCAGACGGGTAGGGGAATCGGAAGGGGCGTAAGGCAAGGCTTTTTCATTGCTCGATCCAGATGTACTTGTTGCGCAGCCATGACTCTGGTGGGAGAAAGGCAGGCGGGCAGGAGGGCAGGCAGGCAGACAGGCAGGCACGCGGGGGTCGGGAAATAGAAGGGAGATCGGAAAGGGCGTGAGACAAGGCCTTCTGGCGCTCGATCCAGATGAGCTTGTTATGCAGCCATGACTCTGGTGGGAGCAGGGCAGGGGGGCCGGCCACTGGTGGGTGCGCGGAAGGTGGATGGTGGGAGGCGGGAGGGTGGGAGTTGGGAGGCAGGAGTTGGGAGGCAGGAGGTGGGAGGTAGGAGGTGGGAGGTGGGGAAGGGAGAGGAAGGGAGACGGGAGAGAGCAGAGAGAAAACCGGGCGAGGGAAGGTCTTCTGCTGCTTGAAACAGGTGGACTTTGTTACACAGGCACGACTCAACACCTTCCTTTGACTCAACCCCCCCCCCCAATCCCCCCCCAGCTCCTCCAATCCCCACCTCCTCCAATCCCCACCTCCTCCAATCCCCACCTTCCCCAAATCACACCTGCGAGCACGGTTCTGAGGGAGGGCGATCTGCCTACTGCAAAGCACGCCAGGCCGTCAGGTGGCGACTGGGGGAGGTAAAAATGGGGGAGGGGATGGGGCGAGGGGGGAGGACGCAGAGGGGGGAATAGGTGGGGAGTTCAGGGGGATTGGGGGAGGGAGAGAGGGAGAGGAGGAAGGACTCATGGCATGTAATGAAGCATGTAATACGGAACTCAGGGCAAGGAAGGACAGGGACTCACTGCAAGGAGGTAGGTCTGAGGGAGGACCAGGAACTCTGCATCGCCTGCTAGATGCAGCGTGACAGTTGGGAAGCGCTGGTAGAACGCTGCTGGGTCGTTGCTGCTTGCGGATGGATACCCATGCATATAGATGGATGGATGCATGTGTACAAGCACATGCACACACAAGCACATGCACACACAAGCACATGCACATGCACATGCACATGCACATGCACATGCACACAGAAGCACATGCACAGGAACGATCCACAGGAAGCGATAACGATATACTCTAATCAAAGGTTTATTTGCATGGGTGCACGCATGCATGCATGCTCACAACAAGGAGTTGGTCAACCTCGGCTTATTGCAGCTTGGTGCCTTTGGTCACAGCACAGCACAGCAGCAAAGGCACCAGCTCAAACCAAGTATGGCACAGCACGGACTTTTGAGACGTCTCAAAAGGCTTATTGCAGCTTGGTGCCTTTGGTCACAGCACAGCACAGCAGCAAAGGCACCAGCTCAAACCAAGTATGGCACAGCACGGACTTTTGAGACGTCTCAAAAGGCTTATTGCAGCTTGGTGCCTTTGGTCACAGCACAGCACAGCAGCTAAGGCACCAGCTCAAACCAAGTATGGCCCAGCACAGCAGCTTGGTGCCTTTGGTCACGTCTCAAAAGCATGGCACAGAAGCAGCACAGCAGCAGCAGCAGCAGCAGCAGCAGCAGCAGCAGCAGCAGCAGCAGCAGCAGCAGCAGCAGCAGCAGCAGCAGCAGCAGCAGCAGCAGCAGCAGCAGCAGCAGCAGCAGCAGCAGCAGCAGCAGCCTTACGTGGCAATCTCCTTGTTGATATAGCATATGAGGCTGTGGGCAGATGAGTCTTTGCTGCTGAACGTGAACCCTCCCACTGTCTCAACCACCTGCGGCACACACACCAAACACACACATGATGCAGCGCAACACAGCGCAACAGACAGTGAGAAAGAGGACATGGAAAGGAGGGAGCATGGGGGGCATGTCGTGTGCGCAGTACTGGCCCTCCTCCCATTGTGTCAACCACCTGCCGCACACGCATCACACACATGATGCACCCAGCAGTCATACTGTGGTGACGGGAGCGTGGAAAATGTCCCCCGGGGAGCTCCGTGAAGGAGGTGATTGAGTCCCCTACTGCACTGCATGGTACTGCCAGTGGTGCACCACTGCACTGCACTGCACTGCACTGCACTGCACTGCACTGCATGGTAATGCACAGTACTGCTACGAACAAAGAGCACATACCGCGGTGACGAGTGCGCGGAACACCTCCTCTGGCAGCTCTGTGAATGTGGTGGAAGAATCATGCTGTGATGACCCCCCACTATGCACCCAACAGCACCCAACAGCAGACATACCGCGGTGACGAGAGCATGGAACACGTCTACTGGGAGCTCCGTGAAGGTGGTTGAGGAGTCCAGCACGGCCCCACCCTCTCCCTTGCAGGCGGCTACAGTCTGACTACGGTCAGAGCACAGTCACAGCACACACGACAGACTGACGTACTGCGGTGACGAGTGCGTGGAACACGTCTACTGGGAGCTCCGTGAAGGTGGTTGAGGAGACCAGCACGGCTGTACTGCACACGTGCCATGATGCCACCCCACCCTACAACGCACACACTTACTCCTCTACGCCACCACACTCCATGCACAACAAAAGGAGCGTACCGCATTGACGAGTGCGTGAACACGTCCTCTGGGAGCTCCGTGAATGGGGTGGAAGAGTCGAGTACCACTGCACTGCACGCATGCACGCAGCACTGCACGCACTGAACGGTACCGCTACAAACCAGAAGGAACATACCGCGGTGACGAGTGCGTGGAACACGTCTACTGGGAGCTCCGTGAAGGTGGTGGAGGAGTCCAGCACGGCCCCGCCCTCGCCCTTGCAGGTAAGGTAACTACTGGTTCGACCCACAATAACCAGACCAGAACCCAGAGCACATACCGCGGTGACGAGTGCGTGGAACACGTCTACTGGCAGCTCTGTGAAGGTGGTGGAGGAGTCGAGCACGGCCCCGCCCTCTCCCTCACAGGTAACTACTGGTTCGACCCACTATAACCAGACCAGAACTAAGAGCACATACCGCGGTGACGAGAGCATGGAACACGTCTACTGGCAGCTCCGTGAAGGTGGTTGAGGAGTCCAGCACGGCCCCGCCCTCTCCCGTTGGGGTGGGCGGGCGGAAGTTGCGCGGAGGGATGGAGAGAAGAGTTCCTGCCACTGACACGCCCTTGATGTGGATGAAGTAGAGCGGACTGGGCGAGGGAGGGGAGAGATGGGGGGAAGGGAAAGGAGAAGAAGAGGGGGGGGAGGGAAAGGAGGGGAAGAGAAGGGGGGGGGGGGGTTGCACAGAGAGGGAGTGATTGGAGGTGTGAAGTTGCGCGGAACGACGGAGAGGAGCGTGCGTGCCACTGACACGCCCTTGATGTGGATGAAGTAGAGCGGACTGTATGGGATAGGAGGGGGAAGGGGGGGTGAAGGAAGGAAGGATAAGGGAGAGAGGTGTGATTGGAGGTGTGAAGTAGCCTGGGGAGATTGGGGAGGGAGGCGTGCCTGCCACTGACACACCCTTGATGTAGATGAAGTAGAGCGGACTAGGGGCGGGAGGGGAGGGGGGAGAAGGAGAGGGGAAAGGACAGGACAGGCAAAGGGAGAGGGAAGGACGAGGTGATGGCTTGAGAACAATGTGAATCTGACCCTGCAGGGGAATGAGTCAGTTTTTTAGTCGACTTTTTAGTCGACTCAAAAAGGGAGAGGGAAGGACGAGGTGATGGCTTGAGAACAATGTGAATCTGACCCTGCAGGGGAATGAGTCAGTTTTTTAGTCGACTTTTTAGTCGACTCAAAAAGGGAGAGGGAAGGACGAGGTGATGGCTTGAGAACAATGTGAATCTGACCCTGCAGGGGAATGAGTCAGTTTTTTAGTCGACTTTTTAGTCGACTCAAAAAGGGAGAGGGAAGGACGAGGTGATGGCTTGAGAACAATGTGAATCTGACCCTGCAGGGGAATGAGTCAGTTTTTTAGTCGACTTTTTAGTCGACTCAAAAAGGGAGAGGGAAGGACGAGGTGATGGCTTGAGAACAATGTGAATCCGATGCTGCAGGGGAATGAAGAATCCAAACCGGTCAACCCTTCCAACCCTCCCATCCCTCCCATCAACCCACATCCCCACAACCCCAATCCCCCACTCCCCACTTCCTCCCCATCTCCCCCCCCTCTCCCCCCCCCTCCCCCCACCTGTCAGCGATTTCAATGAAAGTGGTCCACTGCGCGCCAGTGGGCCCTAGACTCGTCCCCTCCCCCTCCCCCCACCCACCACCCCCCACCCCTCATCCCTCTCCACCCCACCTGTCAGCGATCTCAATGAAAGTGGTCCACTGCGCGCCAGTGGGCCCTAGGCTCGTGCCCAGCACCACGTAGCTGCCCTTGGCGTAGGGGTCTAGCACAGGGCGAAGGTGTCCGCCCACACGCCCACACGCCCACACGCCCACACGCAACATCTCCCGCATCCCCAAGCCCCAACACTCCCAAACCCACACATCCCCACGCCCGCACACCCTCCCATCGCCCCACATACACCCCAACCCATATACCCCCTCCCTTTTCTCCCCAACCCCCACTCCACTCCACTCCCCTCACCCCCCTCTCACCTGTCGGCAATCTCAATGAAGGTGGTCCACTGCGCGCCAGTGGGCCCCAGGCTCGTCCCCAGCACCACGTAGCTGCCTTTTGCATACGGATCGCCCTCCAGGCACAGGGCGAAGGAGTCTGCCCACACGCCCTGCGCTGCTGCCACTGACACGATCGACTGGATGCCCCGTCCCAGCCCAAACACGCCGTCGGGCGCCCGAGAGACGCCGGAGAGACTGCCTGTCTGGTAGCTTCCACAACTGGTGGAAAGAAATAGGGGGAGGGGAGACAGGGGGGGTGGGGTGGTGGGGGCGGAAGAGGGGTGGGAAATGGGAGGGAAGGGGGTTTGAGGAAAGGAGGGAGGCACCACTGGCCCCAGGCTTGTTCCCTTGGCGTAGGGGTCGCCCTCCAGGCACAGGGCGAAGGAGTCCGCCCACACGCCCTGCGCTGCTGCCACCGAGACAACCGACTGGATGCCCCGCCCCAGCCCAAACACCCCGTCTGGCGCCCGAGAGACTCCCGATAGGCTTCCCGTTTGGTAGCTGCCACAACTGGTGGATGGAAAGAGGGGAGGAGGGGGAATGCGGGGGTGGGGTGGTGGGGGAGGGAGAAGGGTGGGACATGGGGGAGGAGGAAAAGGGGTTTGAGGACTGCCATTCTGGTAGATGCCACAACTGGTGGAAAGAGAGGGAAAGGGGAAGGGAGACAGGGGGTGGGGTGTTGCAGAGGAGTGAAAGGGAAGAAAGAAGGTGTGAAGGCGTGGGGAGGGGATTTGAGAAAAGGAGGGAGGGTGTGTGGAAGTTCAGTGTAACTCATGAGACGCCCTGCGCTGCTGCCGCTCACGCACACAGGGACCTACATATTTGCACAGACACACACATGCATGCCCACAGATACACTGACCTGACACTCACTCACACACGTACCCGAAGATCACGTAGGTCTTGGAGAGAGTACCATTTCTTAGCGGCAGCCACACAATGTCGTACAGCAACCTTCCCTCTGTGGTCCCTGCTGTCACGCCGCTCACACCACTCCCTCCGCTGGCAGTCGTGCCGTACCGCTGCGCGTACTCACACGCGTCTGGGTCCCCTGGTCACTCGCACCACCGCTCATGCACACACAGACCTACCCTTTGCACAGACACACTCACATGCATGCATACACCCCCACCCACAGACACAGAGAGACACACAGACTTACCCGAAAATCACATAGGTCTTGGAGAGCGTCCCGTTGCGCAGCGGCAGCCACACGATATCGTACAGCAACCTTCCCTCTGTGGTCCCTGCTGTCACGCCGCTCACACCGCTCCCTCCGCTGGCTGTCGTGCCGTACCGCTGCGCGTACTCACACGCGTCTGGGTCCCCCGGCAGCGACCGCGCCATACCGCACCCCACCGCTGCGGTTCCTGAGATGAAGGACATGCTGACACAGGTCTTGTCGGCGCAGGTGAGCGGCAGGTTGGTCTTGGATGCCGCTGGGTCGAATGGTGGGGACGCCTGGGGAGGGGAGAGGGTGGGGGGAAGGGAGGAGGGGTAAGGGAAAGGGGGGGGAGAGCAGGTCTTGTCGGCGCAGGTGAGCGGCAGGTTGGTCTTGGATGCCGCTGGGTCGAATGGGGGGGGACGCCTGGGGGGGAGAGAGAGAGGGGAAGGAAGGGAGGAGGGGCGAGGGAAGGGAAGGGGAAAGCGGGTAAATCGGAATGGGAAGGGTCTTTTGCTGAATCCAATGGCCCTGGGCGGAAGAAGGGGACGCCTTTTGAGGCGCCTCAAAAGTCTACTTCTGGCGGTGGCGGTGGTACTTTTGAGGCGCCTCAAATGCTGAATCCAATGGACCTGGGCGGAAGACCCTTCCCATTCCGTTTTACCTCCTTTCCCCTTCCCTTCCCTTCCGTCACTTCCAATGGCCCTGGGCGGAAGAAGGGGACGCCTGGGGAAGTGCGGAGAGGGGACGGGAGAAATTACGAGTCTAGTTTTTTTTCTCCAAATAGAAGCATCGGAGGGATCTTGTCGAATGCAGGCACATTCGGGGAGGGGAGTAGGCAGGCATGTACAGGACCGGTGGTGAAGCCAGTGGAGCACTGTGTGCAGTCGCAGAAGAGCCAGGAGAGGTAAGAGGGGAGGTACCAGGTGCGAAGCACATGGGGGGGAACATGCAGGTGGGAAGGAGAGGAACGAACAGGACCGGTGGTGAAGCCAGTGGAGCACTGTGTGCAGTCACAGGAGAGGCAGGAGAGGCAGGAGAGGCAGGAGGGGGGAGGCATGAGTGGGGAGGGAAGGAGGGGAACGTACAGGGCCGGTGGTGAAGCCAGTGGAGCACTGCGTGCAGTCACAGGAGAGCCAGGAGACGGGCGTGGTGGTGTCGATCTGCAGCCAGAACGAGCTGACTTTTGAGTCGACTCAAAAGGGAGGAACGTACCGGGCCAGTGGTGAAGCCAGTGGAGCACTGCGTGCAGTCGCAGGAGAGCCAGGAGACGGGCGTGGTGGTGTCGATCTGCAGCCAGAACGAGCTGACTTTTGAGTCGACTCAAAAGGGAGGAACGTACCGGGCCAGTGGTGAAGCCAGTGGAGCACTGCGTGCAGTCGCAGGAGAGCCAGGAGACGGGCGTGGTGGTGTCGATCTGCAGCCAGAACGAGCTGACTTTTGAGTCGACTCAAAAGGGAGGAACGTACCGGGCCAGTGGTGAAGCCAGTGGAGCACTGCGTGCAGTCGCAGGAGAGCCAGGAGACGGGCGTGGTGGTGTCGATCTGCAGCCAGAACGTCTGCTGCTCCGACCCAAAGTCCAGCGCCACGTAGTACCCACTGCTATCGCAGAGGGGGGGGGGGGGGGTGGTGGTGGGTGGGAGCACAGGGGGGCACAGGAGGGCACAGGGGGGCACAGGGGGGCACAGGAGGGCATAGGGAGGTGTCTCAGAACGTCTGCTGCTCCGACTGGAAGTCCAGCGCCACGTAGTACCCACTGCGGTATTGCAGAGGCAGGGAGTGGCGCAGGGCAGGGGGACGCAGAGGGACACATGGGGGCACAGGGGGGCACAGGGAGGTGTCTCAGAACGTCTGCTGCTCCAACCCAAAGTCCAGCGCCACGTAGTACCCACTGCCGTATTGCAGAGGCAAGGGGTTTCGGGGGTGGAAGTGGGGAAAGAATAGATGATGGCGAAGCGAAGCTGTGAGGTGTGGGGGATTATGAGCCAGACCCACTGTGAGGCGACACGATAAACCCGTTGCCACTGTCTCAAACACTGCCCACTTGCCCACACCTTTCAAGCCGTTTCACAACTCGCCTACCTGCCTCTCATAATCTCATTCCACCCCACCCAGCGCACCTCTCCTTGCTGAAGCTGCCCCCAACGGTGCCCAGCATGCCATCCACAGCCTCGGCGAGCATGGACGTGGTGAAGGGCGTCACTGTCTCAAACACCGCCCACTTGCCCACTTGCGCACACCTTCCAACCCGTTTCACAACCCGCCTACCTGCTTCTCATTCCCCCCCCCACTCAGCGCACCTCTCTTTGCTGAAGCTGCCTCCCACAGTGCCCAGCATGCCATCCACCGCCTCAGCCAGCATGGACGTCGTGAAGGGCGCCACTGTCTCAAACACCGCCCACTTGCCCACGCCTTTCAATCCTGTTAATAAGGCGCTTACCTGCCATTCATTTCACTCCCCACCCCACCCAGCGCACCTCTCCTTGCTGAAGCTGCCCCCAACCGTCCCCAGCATGCCATCCACAGCCTCAGCCAGCATGGACGTGGTGAAGGGCGCCACTGTCTCAAACACCGCAGACTTGCCCAGCGCTGACCGCCGCCTCTGCCGCTGCACGCTTGACTCGCTTGACTCGTTTGACTCCCTTGACTTGCTTGACTCGTGTGGGTGTTCGTGCTTCTGCTGCTCCGCTGCGCCGTGCTGCCTGGACTGGCGATGCTTTCTGGTGCCATGTGAATGTCCCAACTGCCGAGAGCCGCCACCGCCGCCGCCGCCGCCGCTGCTGCTGCTGCTGCTGCTGCTGCTTTTTCTCCTCGCTCCTGTCGGCACACCGCTGTTGGTGGGTGCTTGGCTCCCTAAGCCCGTAGCATACGGACCCGGGCGGTTCCCCGTGTCCTGTAGTGCGTGGTAAACGTAAGGGGGGAAGAGGAAAGGAGAGGAGAGACCAGGTCACGGAATGCTTATCTTTGAGTGAACACGGGACGTGAATGGGCATGAATGCATGCACGGGGAACGTGTGTAAGTGAGACGTCACACTGGCATGCTTACTCGTATATGGTTTACCCATGAGTGAGTGGTTTACCCATGAGTGAGTGGTTTACCCATGAGTGAGTGGTTTACCCATGAGCGAGTGGCCTACCCATAAGCGGCTAACTTAACAGTCGCGTAGCCTCACCAGTAGAAATGGCGAGTCTGATCGTCTCACTAGGTTCAATCTCAGCCGTCCATCGTCCCCCCAGCCCTCATGCTCCCTCCACGCTTCCTTAGTGTAAACGGGTCCTAGGCCATGCAGCTTCGCGCCCTTCCTCCCCTTTCCCTTCTTCGCCTCCCTCCCCTTCTTCCCTGTCTTCCTCTTCTTCTCCCTCTTTCCACTATCTCCACCACTGCTGCTGCTGCCGCCGCCCCCGCCGCCACCGCCGCCGCCGCTGCTGCTACTACTGCTGATGCTGGTGTCGCTAATATGCTTGGCTCGTCCCGGCATTGCATTTTCATGCACCGTTAGAGTCACATCCGTGCACCCGTTGTAATCCTCCATCGTGCATCTACCTGTCCCACTATCGAAACTACCAGCAGCAGCAGCATCAACAGCAGCAGCCGCACCAACAGCGGTTCTTCCTTCTCCCCCCGCTACTGCCGAGCCTTTCGGCCGCGTGATTATAGACGCCGGGCGCGCGCGCTAATGGGGAAGCGCGGGGAAAGGGCGGGATGGGGAAGGGGGGACAGGGGGTTGGGGAGGGGAAAGGGGAAAGGGTGACGACAGGGGAAATGAACAAGAAACGCACAATGAGGGCACGAACTGGGGAAAGTGGTTCGGCGAGGACTCGAAAGGGAAAGGAGCAGAAGACACGTACGCAGGGAAGGGCGGCGAGAATGAGCAGCATAAGACACACGTGGCGGCGCCGCCACGCGCCTCGCCGTACGGCGGCTTGCGCGCATTGCAGCGATCTTCGAGTCGGCTTAACAGGCACTTGCGGCGACGAACGGGGAAGAGGAGAGCGCCGCGGCGACGGAACGTAACCGGATGAGTGGTAACCAGAGTCTAGAACGTGCTTCGTGTTCGCGACGGTGCACTTATTACTTGACAAGTGGTGTGGAATGGACGGGTTAAGGCGCCGCGACGCCATGGGATGCGGGATGACCACGCGAATGCGACTCGACGGTCACTACCAAGAAGCGGTGACGCCTGTCGAGACTTCAAAACGGTCGACCGGGAATGCGTAGGGTCAACTTGGAGGTGCCTTGGATATACTTGCGTTGGTCACGGTTGACTGGAGTTGACTAGCTGTGGCATGACTTGGGCTCACATAGATCAAGCAGGGTTCGACATGGAGGCATACACGGGTGTCACGAACTATTGTTTACATGGCCAACTACTACGGGGAAACGATTGCCGGGAGTCATTGCTGGGTGCTGGCCGTGATAGTAGTCGATGGGACATTAGCGATGGGCGGAGATGGTTGCGTCTTAGAGTCAGTATCGACGAGGCTACCGGGTCCGCTACGACGACCCCACTTTCCTTACTCTGCTAAATACGACTCGCGGCGTGAACGCCTGCTTAGACACCCTGCATTAGGGTTTCTCGCGCGCTGCCAGGCCGTATAGCATAGCGTAAAAAAGGTGCACTAAACCAAGGGAACAAGAAGCAGGCTTGAGATGCGCTTCGTCTGGGGGAACCTGAGGTAGCGAGGAGAGGACTCGATAGAGTTATTCGGACTAGTTTTTCGTTTGCAGCCGCTCTAGAACGCTGGAAGCCCCAAAACAGGGATTCTCTGGTGGAACTTCGATGAGTGGGAGAAGTTGGGGAGTTTGTAGTGTAGGGGAGGGATGCTCTCACTCTTGGCGAGCCCAAGACGCGTGGGCGAATCAAAAAGCGAACTCACTTGTTGGGTCTCGAAAACAGCGGGGGAACGGTTACCCTATCTAGTCACTTCGCGTTGTGGCTGACGCATACCCTCTCCTCCTGGATGTTTGTCGTGTTGTGTGGGTTTCTGGTTTGTCCGACCTATCCGCCTCTGGTTGGCTCAACACCAAACCGCCAATATCCAAATTGCCCTGCCTGCGCCCAGGGTGAGTTTTGGCGGGAAGAGGAAACACCTGAGACTGTATCGAGAATGAGTGTGAACGCAACGAACAAATGAACAGTGTACTTGTATCCCAATATCAACATGACAAGAGTTGTCCATTAGGTAAACCGTTTACGTTTCCATTTTTTTGCTAAACATATGAGAACGTAACACTAAAATCAAAGGGTAGATAGTACTGGACAAACAACTAATTGTCTTAAGGAATAGCATTAACAGGCCCCTGGACTCGGATGAAACCATGCGAGTGAATTATTCGGGCCACAATTGGCCGCTTGTGGCTGTGACCACCCCTAAACGAAACCAACAGGATCCCAGGATCCTCGGGCCTCCTCTCCAACACTCTCTTTGCCAAACACCCATCATGGCTACACCGGTAATAGCTGCGCTTAAAGTGTGTTTGCTTGAGTGCCTTCTCTCCATACTTGCGCCACCGGTACCCGTCATCCACCTCATCCTTAGTTGTAGCCACACGGTGCATCAACAGCTGCTGCTGCTGGTGTTGCTCCTCCGGCTGCTGCAGGTGCGGAATGTGTAGCTGGTGAATAGGGCTCATGGGACTAACCCCTCTTGTGCATGGAGAGAGAGGAGGAGACGGCACGGGTGTCGTCCCAGCAGGGCTGAGAGGAAACGGCGAAAGAGGGGCGGTCGAGGCCGAGGGCGAAGGAGAGGGAGACGGGGAACGTGGTGGGGTATTGACAGGGCTCGCTGCCTGTACCTTCTGCCTCTTGCAAGGGTTGCTTGGAGTGCTTCCATACTGCTCTGCATTCCCCCCCTCCTCTTCCATGTGGCAAGGGGGGTCACTCTCCTCTGGTTCTCGCTGCCTCTTGTTGCCGCACATGCCTCCTCCCCACACTCCCCCACCCCCTCCTCCCCCTCCTCCGCCTCCTTCGCCTGCTCTGACTGTCCGTGTGGCAGCAGCTGCTGCAAGGGCAGAAGACCAAGTGGTGGGTAAGCCTTGGCCAGGCAGCACCTGCGCTTGCTGCTGCTGCTGATACTGCTGCTGCTGCTGCTGCTGCTGCTGCTGCTGCTTGCTATCTTCACTGATGCTCCCACTGCTGCTGCTCAGATGGCTATCCAGGCTCCCAGTCACCGGCCCTCCATGTACCACCGCAGCCGCAGCTTCCAAAGCAGCAGCAGACGATCCAGCAGGACTAGCACCACCAGCAGCACCAGCAGCGGCGGTACTGGCGCCAGCATGGGAATGCTCCTCTCGGTACACCACTCGTGTGGAAGCAGCGTCTTCAGCCAGCTCCACCGTCTTCCTCGCAGGGCAGCCGGGCAGAGCGCAGCGGAAATAAGCGCGGGGGAACTTGGCACCCTTGGCGGTCTTCTGCCCATACTTGCGCCACTGGTATCCGTCCCCTGGGATGCTCTCCATGAGACGCGCTAGAGGGTCTGAGGATTGGCATAAGTCTGAGACCAGAGGGGATACGGCTGGCTGATCCCGGCTGTATCTCTCGGCTTCGGCTGCTGCTGCTGCTGGTGCTTGTGGGGTTGCAGGTGAGGCATGCGGCTGAGAGGGGGAGTCGGCTTGTGCTGAGGTGGTGCCCTCGTTGTGCAGGGTTGGCTGCTGCTGCTGCTGCTGTTGCTGCTGTTGCAAGAGCTGTGCATCAGCAGCTGCAGCAATCTTCTGCAGCAGCAGCGCACGAAGGAGCGCGTCCAGCTGAGCTGGCAAAGCAGCTGCTGCCGCTGCCTCATCCCCCCCTGCTGCTGCTACTACGGGAGTAGCTGGTGAGACTGGTGATGCAGGAGTGAAAGGAGAAGACGGGGTGACTGGGGTGGCTGGGGTGGTTGGCGTGACAAAGCCACAGGAGGAGGCTGGGGTAGTTGGCGTGGCTGGTGGTGTGAATCGCAGCGACAAGGACGCCGATGGGCGGATCTTACGAGACATCAATCGGGACGGCAACGGGGACGGCGATCGAGTGGGAGGAGTTAACCGCGCTCTCCTTGGCGCTGGGCTGAGCGGCAGAGGCACCGATATCACAGCTGGAACAGCAGGAAGCGAGGGAGATGGCGCGGCGGCGGACACATCTTGAAGTGCATATCCCGAGGAGGGAAAGAACGGTCGCCCATCCGTCGAGTGTGGTGCAGAGGTGCAAGGCGAGTAAGGAGAGGCAGGGCCTGGGGTATACGTCTCTGCGTCCCTCTCCTCTTCTCCGGGCCAGCAGGAGGACTCTGGGAGCCTCAGTGGGCGAAGCTTTAGAGGCAGGCTGCGCTGAGGATGGGCAGTGGGATGGGCACTGGCATGGGTGCTGCCTGGGGCATTGGGATAGTCCTGAGATGAGTAACATCCAGCCGTCTGCTGCTGCTGCTGCTGCTGCTGCTGCTGCTGCTGCTGCTGCTGCTGTGACTGAGTGTCGAGTGGTAACATAGCCATATCCTCCTCTACCTTTGCCAAGAAGTCCCCTTGCTCTGGCGCCTCTACACTCAACCCTCGCACTGGCAGAAACTGCATCAGATCTTGCGCCGCTGCACCAGAACCCGAATACTGCCCAGCAGCAGCACCACCGCCACCACTCCCGCCGCCGCTGCTGCTGCCGCCATACTGCTGGAAGCACCAGGGCATGGCGCTGTCGCCTCCAAACGCGAACATCTCTATCGGGGACAGCTGCGGCAGCGCTGTGCTGTGGTAAAACGCGTCTGGCGCGTTTCTCACGGTTGAGATCGGTGGAGGGCGCTGCTCGTCCGTGGCAAGCTCCGCCTCAGCGAGTCGGGGGGAGGTGTGCTCGGGGGAGGCGGACCTGTGACCGCCGTCGCAGCTGACAATAGCGGTTGGCGCAGGCTCTTGCGCGTCATCATAGAATACAACGGGAGAGAGCGGAGGCGAGACGGGCTCAGGTTTCACATCACCCGCAGCACCCGCGCTAGTAGCATTCACAGTAGCGGGGCCAGCGGCAGCATGGGCGTCGGTGGTGGTGGTGGTGGCGGCGGCGGCGGTCGTGGCGCCCCCGAGTCCGAGTCGCACCAGGTTCGCAGCGGCAGACTTGGACGCCGTCGCCAGCATCGGCAGCAGCGCGCCGAGCAGCTCCAACCCGCGCTGCCGCTGCTGCTCCTCCGTCAACGCATCACCGGCGGCTTGATGATCAACTTGATCATCCTTCTCGCGTCGCTGCCGCGGCCCGTCCCGATACTCCGCCGTTGCTTGCTCTCCCGCTGGCTGCGGAGTTCGCGGCGCATCACCCGCGAGAGCTGGGCCGGTGGCGATGGTCTCGGCACCGTTGGCGCCGCAATGTGCGGCCGGCGCCGCCGCGGCGTCGCAAGGGACTTCCGCTAGAAGCGCGCGCAGCTCGTGAAGGTGGTGCATCAGCTGTTGGCGCGCTGCGATCCCGTTCTGACTGTTACTACTTGCAAGGGCAGCAGCGGAACTACCAGGAGAACCCATTAACGAAAGCCGCTGCTGCTGGTTCCCGGTGGTAATGCGACCGTGAATGAGACTTTGAATGATCGCCGTGTGATGCGGAATTGCAATGAGACTCTGAAAGCTGGAGAGCGGAAGAAGGAGAAGGGGGAGGAGAAGAAGGCGGAGGTGAATGTCGTAGTTGCGCCTTTTGTTGTTGAACGACGCCGTTAACGGCGGTTAGAAGGCTATAGTAACGAAGCAGTAACGAAGTTCCAACACACGTAACTTCGAGTTTTAACGGGATCGACCTAATTTTTTCGATACTGAAGCGTTTCAATCCTTTCCAGTGGAAGAACGACACGCGACGTGAGTTGCACAAGAGACTCGTCACAATGATACCAACTGCTACTACTGAGGTTGCGGTAGCAAAGGAAGATCCTCCGTTCTAGCCGTTATTCTCGCTGTCTAAGCGATCGCGGCGGGGATGGCTGCTGTGATAATTAGGAATGCCGTTGGGTCGTGTTTTTTCTTCTCCGGCGGTGGTTGGGTTGTGAATTTATTTCCATTTGTAGGCACTAAGCCTCTCAGTGCTCCCGAGGTTGCCGCGCCTTCGTCGTAACGTGGTATGGTAGGTGAATGGGTGTGCGGCGTCGAGTTGACCTCCGTCAACGCGTCAACTATTGCGAAACGAGAAACGGGAGCTGCTTGTTACCTGCGCACGCCAGTGTACAGTACACGCACTGTACTTCCGTACCTGCCAGATCATTCTCCCAAACCTCGACAGTTCTCCACCGCTTTCTCTCACCACCACCACCGCCTCGCTCCCAAACCAAACGGCTTGGCCAAATCGGATAATGGATGGTCCCCTTCGCCGCATTTGCAAAATGGTACCTTTCGCGTGTCTCGCACGATGTTGAAGGTCTAGTGAGGGGCCTTTAGTGCACTAGACTAGTCACTCAACCGGCTCTGGCTACGACTAAAAAAATATCATGTCCTCAGACGTCAAAGTTTGTGTGGAAGATGGATGGTGCGGGAAATCGGTCTGCGTACGTCACTGTAGTTGAATGTGAATGATGATCAAAGCTGACCAGATTTAGTCAGGGTAAACACTTCCGGAATCGGCGAAATAAAGAACATTGAAATCCAAACCGAAGCCCAAGCCTGGCCTTTGTTCCAAAACCAAACCGCAGTGGCAAACCGCGCGGCTAGGTCAGTGAAACCAGAGACGCATCCTTGTCAGCACAGCTCGCGCACCGACCACCAAGGATTCGGCGAAAGTCGGGGGAAACGCGGTTTCGATCGTGTCCTGTGATGTGACGAAGTGGTGAGCACACACAACAATTTGCGAGAATAAGCGAGAAAGAAGGACACTGTAACAGGTCGTAAGCGTTCGTGGCTCGAAATATTATTGGTCAGACACTGCTGGTAAACGGCTGAGGTTTTGCGGGTGGTCAGATTCCCAACCGCTGACAGGTAGACAAGGCGTTGAAACCGTCAATGGGTGTCTGCAAGTACAGTCCAGCATGCTCTCAATGAATCGCCCCCAGAATTGTGGACCAGAGGGTGATTTCGTGAGCGTCGATTGGAAGATGGACGTGGGAAGGTCACCGCAGAAATTCGGCGGCTCGTCACCGCCAACCAGGTGAAGCAAAACCTCAAATCTGTACAGTTCAACACACTGTAACGGCGAGGTTGGCAAGAGGCTCAACAATGTGCCAGGTGGCGAGCGCAGGTGTGACGACGAGGCCTTGACCTCACTTCGACAGAAGTTTCGCGTGGCCTCGACAGTATCGCAAATGCTTCCCATTGTTTCTGATATGGTCATTCTACACTTGTCATGCCTACAGAAATACGAGAATGTATAATCTGAATTTTGGATCACCAATAGTTCGCTTCGGCTTGTGCTTCAATTGGGTAGCGTCAAGTTCTACATCACCAACATCACTCACAGTTTTTTCTTCGCTATTTCCGTGTTGGGCTGTTCAATTCCACCCGCTTCAGCACCATGGCATCCGGAGGGCGAACAGCCGGCGCAGGAGGAAGGGGAACAGCAGGGCGAGAAGGTGGGAGAGGAGAAAGAGGAGGAGGAAGAGGAGGAGGAAGAGGAGGAAGAGGAGGAAGAGGAGGAGGACTAGAAGGGGGAGGAGGAGGAGGGCGTCGCAAGTCATCGTCGGATCGCGACCCGTTGACCGCCAAAGTGTCTCCCAATTTCGGAGGAGGCGCGCTCCCGCCTCCTCCTTCCGCCAGGGATGTCTCCGCGCTTCCCGCGTCCCTCCGGCGAATGATGGCTCTTCGGACGCGCGCGGAACAAGATTCATCCGCAGGTAGCGAGGGATTGCGCTAGCGCGCTGTCTAAAGCGCGGAACAAGATTCGTTAGCAGGCGCGTAGAGCGATGCTTTGGCATGCGCATGCACAATCGTAGAACAGAAATGGTGGAGTTTAGTAGCGGCACAATCAGTTACAACTCCGTCGCCGCGAATGTGGAGAGGGAGACAGCTAGTTACCACTTTGGACACGTTGCAACCTTGATTGGCTGCGATGCGCTGGAGTTTCAGGGTTTTTAGGGTGTAAGGGTTTCGGGGTTTGAGGTTTATCACTCATGTTAGGGTCCAGGCGTCAGGTTCCAAGTTTCAAATCGTCTTGTTCACACAAGCGCTCTCGCCTCCCTACGCCTCTCACTTCCCCCTTTTTCCTCCCGTCCCCTCCTCCCTCGTCCTCCCCCCCCCCCCCCCCCCCCCCCCCCCCCCCTTCTCTCTCTCCCCCCCCCCGCCCCTTTTTCCATCCCCGTCCCTCGTTCCCCCTCCTCTCCCCTGACCCCTCCTCCCTACCGCCCCTTCCCAATGTTCCCTCCCTTAACCTTGCGACTCCGCTTCCACCTCCCCTCACTCTCACCCACCCGCGCCACAGGGAAACGGAAGCGGGGAGGGGATACAGGAGGCCGCGGAACAGGGGGAACTGGGGGAAGGGGGAAAGGGCGCGGGGGAGCGGCAAACGGTGGAGCTGAGGGGAATGCAGCAAGGAAACGAGCGCGGAGGGCGGAGCAAGGGGGAGCGGAAGGCATGCAACCCCCGCAGCAGAGTAAAGGCCACGCGGGGAAGGGGGAACAGGAAGGGGGAAGTGGCGCGGGGGAACGCGGTGGGGGCAACCAGCGCGCGGGTGCGGCAGGGGGAAGGGGGGGAAAAGCGGGTGTGCGGGGGGGAAAAGGGGGGAGAGGAAGCGAGCGCGGGGGGAGGGGGGGGCAGAATGTGCGCGGAGTGGGGAGGAAAGAGGAGCAGGATTTACTGGCGTTTGGGGAAGAGCTGAAGGCGGCTGCTGCGGCTGCTTCTGGGAGCCTGGGCAAGAGGAAAGAGAAGATGAAGAAGTGAGTGCTAAGGGGTGTGCAAAGAGGTGTGCAAAAGGGAGTGTGTGTGAGAAGGGTCGTGCAAGGAGTTTCCGGTTCAGTGAGTTAGTTAGGGAGTGGGAAACTACAGGCAAGGAAGGAAGTACTCTCATATCTCGTCATCCCCCTGTTCACCTCCGGCGTTGTATTGTAACTTCAGGCAGGCTTATTGTTTCCCCATGGCAGGTTCCTGACAGAGCGGCGTAAGGCCAAGAAGCTGAAGCAGAAGCATGGAGGGCGCGGGGATGCAGAGGGTGGGGGAGGGGGAGGGCAGGGGGAGAGCAGGAGCGCGGATGGCAGGGCGCTGGAGTTCCCTGAGAGGGACGTGGTGGCGTTTGGGGACGTGGTGCAGGAACCACCGAAGAATCTTCCTCAGCCACGGAAGAAGGTTGGTGTGCTTTGATGTTGTGTGAGTGTGTGTGAGGGGGGGGGGAGGTGTGGGGAAGGGGGAATGTGTGGGTGCGTGCATGCGTGCTGGTGTGTGTGTGTGTGTGTTGGGGGGGGCGGGGAGGTGTGGGTGTGTGTATCTGTGTGATGTGTTTTTGTGATGTGCTTCTATGCATAGTGTTGTGTGGTCCGTGGCAATGCTTTTGTTCCTGCAAATTCATCTTCCCCTTCCAACCGTTCCCACCCTGACCACTCACCCAACCATCCACACACCCAACAACCGCCCTCTTCCTGACTTACCCCCCTCAGTTGTCCCTACCACCCTTCTCAAACTCTCAGTCCCTTATACTCGTGTCGTTGCACTTGCCTTCCATCCCTGCTCTGCAGAAAACCCTTCAAGAAACACTCTCCGCTGCTGCTACTGCTATCAATGCTGCTGCTGTCGTGTCATCTGAAGCTGCTGCTGCTGCTCCTGGCCCCATGAATGCTGCGCCTACTGCTGACCACACTACGACAACTCACCCTGACGCATCCACATCTGCTGCTGCTGCGGCCGCTGTTCCAGAAAAGAAAGAGCCTCGGCATTGGCCGGCGAAGATGGGAGAATCCGTGGCGTCCCAGGAGAAGTTGCGACTGGCGGCAGTGCAGCATTACCGCGATTTGCATAAAAATAAGAAAGAAAAAATGCTGTCTAATCTACCTGCGCGGGCGATTCGAGCGGAACTAGAGTGAATCTTGCTTTTGAAATTTGTTCCTGTAAGGCTGTGTGATGGTACTGTAGGTTTAGTTTCTCCTGCCAGGAAGGGGGAGTGTAACAATGCATCCAAATGGGCTCTGAATACACGAACTTCAACGATTCTCAATCTGTAACATCGCAACGTTTTAGATTTTGCCTGCCGCCGGACCACTGGGCCTGATTCTGCCATTCTCTATCGCGCGTTTTCTTTATGGTTCGGTTTTTCTGCTGTCAAATTCCAATGCATCTCCATTCCGCGCGTCATGCGTCAACCATCACTATCCACGAGTATCGAAGATCCTCTAGCTATTAGGTCTTAGTCCGTTGTTGTTCGCTCTGGTATCTAGTCTCTGTGTTCCGCAACCAATGGCCATGATGGCTCAATCAATATCCTCGCATCATTTGCGAAGCCAGATCCTTTCGCTTCTTTCGCCTCGGTCGCCTCGCGAGGTACGGACAGGCAAGGGGTTCGAACCCTCGACCTGCGTTCTCGCTGCCGCTTCGCCGTTGTCGCATTCCGCCTATCGCTTGACCGTCGCATTCGCACCGCGTGAGAACTCGTCGCAGATCAATCGACAAAAAAGCGGTTTGTCGGAACGACGGGAGGCAGGCACATGGATCAACCCGCGGAGAGAGCGGGGAAAACCGCGCTGCTCCGCGCAAGCAGCTGCAGATAGGGGGAAGGAGATCAGGGTGGCGGAGACCGACAATGGGGGAGGGGGGATGCGCGGAGAGGCAATGCGCGAAGAGGGAATGCGCGAAGCCGGGGTGCGGGGGGAGTCAGACGGGGCGGCGCAGGCAGCAGGGGAGGAGCGGAGGGACGACGGGGGGAACGGTCGCGGAGAAAGCGATTGTTCCGATAAGAATGCGGGTGGGAGGGGGAGAAGTGAAGCAGCGGGGGGGAGCGCGGAGGGACGCGCGGGGAGGAAGCGGAAGATGACAGTACTGGTGAGCGCGAGACAATGACAGTGACAAGGCTAGTTAAGATTGTTGGCCCAGCTTGCTACCGATTGGGTTGAACGGGCATGATTGTATGGTTGATTGATAACACACCCATATGCTCCCAGAACGCACCTGTAGCCCTCCCACCCACACTCGACTGAGGAACAGTCCCAGCGCCCCATCAACAAAGATGCGTCTCAGTATAAGGTGCATTGTGGTGGTTCAGGGGAGGTGGTTCTGGGGAGGTGGTTCTGGGAAGGACCCAAAACCGTCTCACACCACTCATTTCGTGTCTCCCTCATGTTTTCCTCTCCCCCTTGACACCTTGCCTTCCCGCCCCCTTCCCTTCCTCCCCTCCCGCATCTTCCCATCCGCTCTCTGCCCCGCCACTCTCCCCCGCTCTTCCCCACCCTCCCCCACTCTCTCCCACTCCCCCTCACTCTCCCCCACTCTCCCCCACTCTCCCCAACTTTCCGCCACTCCCCACCAATCCCCCCCGGTCAGGTGTGCGCAGGCGACGTGATGGGTGACGACCATGCGGCTAGACTGGTGGCGGCACTGCTGGGAAGAGAGAAGGGCTTGCAGGGAGAGGAGGGACGGAAGGGAGCGGAGCAGGGAGAGGAGGAGTGGGAGGTGTATGCAGTGGCAGGGCCTAGGAGCGAAGCAGCGGGTGCCACCCTCTTAGGTATGCTGGTGCTACTGTTGCTAGCTACCCTCGCAAGTATGCTGCTGGTGCTACCTTCTTGCAGTAGCAAGAAATGAGCTGTCTGTCTGTGTGCGCCTCTTGGTCAAGTCTTCCCTATCAGCCCACCCTTTCCGGTCCTGCCCTGCCCTGCCCTGCCCTGGCCTTTCCCCCCTCCCCTCCCTACCCTGCCATGCCCCACACCATCCCAGGCAGCAACCATGGCATGTCGTCCATAGGGCTGTTTGAGGCCCTCCGCTTTGTGCCACGCTCTCTGATTCGCTTGAGCACTGCCTCCCTCCCCTTCCCTTCCCCGTCTCTCCCCTGCCTCACGCCATCCGAGGCAGCAACCACGGAATGTCGTCCATAGGGCTGTTTGAGGCCCTCCTCTTTGTGCCGCGCTCTCTGATTCGCTTGAGCGTTGCCTTCCCCTCCCCTCCCTTCCCTTCCTCGTCTCTCCCCTGCCTTACGCCATCCCAGGCAGCAACCATGGCATGTCGTCCATAGGGCTCTTTGAGGCCCTGCGCTTCGTGCCGCCTGGTAATCGCCTCCCCTCCCCTCCCCTCCCTTCCACTGCCCTCCCATCCGCTACGCCCCCCTGCCCCTCCCCATCCCAGGCAGCAACCACGGCATGTCGTCCATAGGGCTCTTTGAGGCCCTGCGCTTTGTGCCGCGCTCCCTGCTGCTCCTTCAAGCTGCCAAGCGCTTTGTGCAACAGCACAAGCCACACGCAGTGGTGCGTGGGAGGGCGGGTGGTAGGTGGGTGGGTGGGTGGGTGGGTGGGTGAGTGGCTGGCTGTGGGGAAGTTTTGAGTCGACTCCAAGCTCCTTTACACCACCAAGCGCTTCGTGCAGCAGCACAAGCCACACGCGGTGGTGCGTGGGAGGGCGGGTGGTAGGTGGGTGGATGGGTGGGTTGGTCAGTGGGTGGGTGGGTGGATGTGGGAGGGTTTTGAGTCGACTCAAAGCTCCTTCACGCCACCAAGCGCTTTGTGCAGCAACACAAACCACACGTGGTGGTGCGTGGGAGGGTGGGTGGGTGTGGGAGAGGGGAGATGTTGGATAGCGAGAGGAGAATTAGCAAGGGGGGGGAAGGGGAAGGAGAGGAGGGAGGGGCCCATGCCTTGTATTTTTGAGTCGACTCAAAAGCAGCCCGTGCCTTGTAGCAGCCCGTGCCTTGTAGTTTTGAGTCGACTCAAAAGCAGCCCGTGCCGTGTAGCAAGGTGCAAAAAAACGACGATTTTTTCATTTTTTTGTCGTTATTTTCGATATCGTACCGTACCATCGTTTAAAACGGATAAAAACGATAAAATTAATAAAATAATTTTGGGTGCAAAAAAACGATTGTTTTTTTGGGTTATGGCAACGTAGCACACAGGATTGGTGGAAGTCGTGGCTTGAACCAATCACCCACACATATTCAGCCTTCCCGCACGTGCAGAGTGTGCCAGATTCCGACCTGCTGTGATCAGATTGGTGGCAGGGGATTTGTTTTGGGTTTTTTTTTGTGTGTGTTTTTTTTTGGGCCTAACAAAAAAACGACGTTTTTTTCCCAAACAGGACCGAAAAAAGCAATCGTTCTTTTCAATCGTTTTTTTTCGCAACCGTTTTTTTCCACCTTGCCGTGTAGCCTCTCTAACAAGCCGAGCCTTCCAAGGGAAGTTGCACAACGAAGTCCGTTTGCCTACCTTTGGGGTGGCGTGCATGCCATCTCTGTCCATGCCGGGTGATTTAGTTTTGAGGCGGCTCAAAACGTGCCTACCTTTGGCGTGGCGTGGCGTGCATGCCACCTCTGTCCATGCCGGGTGATTTTTCTGTTTGCATTCGCACGCCCACATGTGCACGTGCTTGTGTGCATGCACGTGAGAACATGGGGGCTTGCACGCATGTGTGTGGCATGTGTGCATGTGTGCATGTGTGCATGTGTGCATGTGTGCATCCTTGCATGTGTGCATCCTTGCATGTGTGCATCCTTGCATGTGTGCATCCTTGCATGTGTGCATCCTTGCATGTGTGCATCCTTGCATGTGTGCATCCTTGCATGTGTGCATCCTTGCATGTGTGCATCCTTGCATGTGTGCATCCTTGCATGTGTGCATCCTTGCATGTGTGCATCCTTGCATGTGTGCATCCTTGCATGTGTGCATCCTTGCATGTGTGCATCCTTGCATGTGTGCATCCTTGCATGTGTGCATCCTTGCATGTGTGCATCCTTGCATGTGTGCATCCTTGCATGTGTGCATCCTTGCATGTGTGCATCCTTGCATGTGTGCATCCTTGCATGTGTGCATCCTTGCATGTGTGCATCCTTGCATGTGTGCATCCTTGCATGTGTGCATCCTTGCATGTGTGCATCCTTGCATGTGTGCATCCTTGCATGTGTGCATCCTTGCATGTGTGCGTCCTTGCATGTGTGCGTCCTTGCATGTGTGCGTCCTTGCATGTGTGCATCCTTGCATGTGTGCATCCTTGCATGTGTGCGTCCTTGCATGTGTGCATCCTTGCATGTGTGCGTCCTTGCATGTGTGCGTCCTTGCATGTGTGCGTCCTTGCATGTGTGCATCCTTGCATGTGTGCATCCTTGCATGTGTGCGTCCTTGCATGTGTGCGTCCTTGCATGTGTGCATCCTTGCATGTGTGCGTCCTTGCATGTGTGC